GCCCGCCTCCAAACAGAAATTCACCATGTCTCGCAAGTGGTCCTTCAAGGGAAACCAAGAGTTATTTGGGCATGGCACAAAATTAAAAAGCAGGGGGTTACGCAGGTTTTGGTCCATGTTTCCACTTACCAGGGCTCCATTTTGGTACCGGTTTTTTGAGCCACAGCCATTTCTTCCGCTATGCTCAAGCCAAGACTTTCGGGCGCAACCCATGCGACTTGCAGAACTCCGAGGTCTCACAGTCCTCCTCTCGCATCCGACGCAACCGACGCAACCCGACGGCTCGCTCGGGCCCGAGCCAGTGGTCCGTAGGTGGCCAAGGGCAGCGTAAATGACACCTCGAGTCGCTCAAAACGGATGGGGATACTGTGGGTGGACGAGATCCTGCACCAGATTGCAACCATAACAAACCCTTGTTTGTTGGTATTTACAGGGGAAGCATCACCCCAGGGTTTTTTTGGTGGTGCAGGATTTCGTCCATCCACAGTATCACAAGCCTTGCACCATGCTTGCACGAAACGTTCACCCTGTTTAACACCTGAGGATCTCTTCACTCTGCATCTTGACGTCGGTCAGTCCGGTCATTCACAGCGAGTTTGACCGCTGGACCCTTCGCTCGCCAGCACCGAAAGCGAGCGAAGCGACCCCATCCCAAAGCCCCCAGCTCATGTTCGCATCTTCCCCAGAAGAGGGGAAATGGAACTATACGTGGAGCGTTCAGCTATGGAACGAAGGGACTCGTCCTCGAAAGGAAACACTGAAACGATCTAACATCACGAGGCCGCGCTTTTCAGGCCGCTTAAAAGCGCAGCCATTTGGGCCCAAACCAGGGAACCCCGAAAATCAGCGCTTCCCTTTGGCTCCCCTTGAAAACAACCCCAAAAGGGCAGCTCCAACAAGGGCCAAGACACACACACACACACACACACACACACACACACACACACACACACACACGCTCACTTTGGCCGGGCTTCGAACCCCCTTCAGGAGGGCGGGGGCCTTTGTCAGCCGGGCTGCAGTTGTAGCATCCAGGGTGACGCTGGGCACCAGGGTGACACCCAGATACACCTGGCACGGGTCACGTAGTTTTAGTATCAAACATAGGGGAAATGTGCTTGATATATTCATACATGTGTCAATGTATTGTTGCTTTAACAAGCAAGAAAAAAAGCGTTTATGTTGTTTTTTTGCAAAACAAAATAAAGGTTTTATGTTTTTGTATTGGATATCTGTTGTCTCCGCAACGTGGAACCGCCTCAAAAGGGGGTCCCCTCAAAAGGGTGTCCCCCAAACGGAGATTCCTCTACACATGACATGATTGTTTTTTGGGGATTCCATCTGAGTCAGAGTCTGAAACACAAACCGTTTATGGAATTTCATAGCCCTTGGCCAGGACTCGCTGGTTGAATCATCCTCCAACCGATCAAAGCAAGCCAACCGAGTTACGATCAAAACCGACCGCTATTGAAATGGTCTACCAGCCCACAGACGACCTGCCTATCTATGGTTGGGACTTTCCCTTTCTAACCTTCTACCTGGGTTTTGATTGCGGCTGCTATTTTCAAACAAAAAAACACGAATCCTAAGTTTTCCTGGAGGTTTCGCCGTCGTCCCGCCACCCTGATTTCTCCCAATAGGGCCTGTCGTTTCGACAAATATGCACTTGTGGTGCCTCCTGTTCGAGCTGGTACCCTTGTTGGGGTCGCTTCCAAGGGCAAAGGGTCTCGTATTCTGAGTTGCTACCCCTGCTTGTTAGGCTTGCTCTAAACGGAAGGCCAACCAGAACCACTGTGTGTAGCATGCTTCCACCAAACCTTAATACAGGAAGTTCCTGTGAACACATACTTGATGGACTCACGCTGGCCGGACAATCCTTGGCCACATCTGACTGCTGAACATATGATCTCGCCTTAACATCTGTGGCCATCAGTCCATCGAAGTTGCGCACGGTCAACACGATCGAGTCGCCCTCGGTCATGTTCACAGTGTCCTTGGTCATGCGAACAACGCGGTGCAAATCCGGAGGAAGCTGACTCGGGGGACAGGCAATTCTGGGGCCGTGCCATCTTTCCTGTTGGTTAAGACTGAAAAACCAGCTGAGAACATCCCCTTCTCCTCCCCGAACTCCGGCTCCGTGCGCAAAAAGGGGCTTGCCCCCCGTTAGGGGTAACCGGTGCCACTTGCTGGAGATCGCCATCTTGGCCCCAGTCTGAGCCTCGAAGATGAATTTGCCCTCAAATTTGCCCCACGCCACCCAGGAGAGCGGCTTTCGCCCGAAGATCCATACCAGGATACACAATCCACCAGTTGCAGGTCACTGTGATAAGATCCACACAACACACCAATGATGGAGAATACTAATGCTAGGATAAACCATCCACCAGTTGGATGACACCCAATCCCTGGCCAACCGGTCTCCCGGTTCCCCCCCCCCCCCGCCCCCGATTTGGTCGCTTCTTCAACTTTCCGGAACAGAAACCAACGTCGCCCTGCGTTTTTGGGGGAGAACCCATGTGAAATATCAAACAACCGCCTGTTTATTCACGTAAAACGCAGGGCTGGTGACATCCGAAATTGCTTTTCTCACCGCTCCGAGGCGCCGCTACGCCGTTCACCGAGATGGCGTCGATGTAGGGCGTCTGAGCCTCGCGGAGAAAAAGGGGGTCAGCTGTGAAACGTTCACGAATGTCATTGGTTTTGTTCTTCTAATAAAAACCATCGGGTTGGGTTTTGGGTCTTTTAATAAAAACCATCGGGTTGGGTGTTGGGTCGTTTAATTAAAACAATAAATAATAATCCTAATAATACTACTAATAATAATAAGTAATAAATAATAATAATAATAATGAAAATAATAATAATAATAAATACTATTAATAATAATAATAAAAATAATGATAATCATAATCATAATGATAATCATAATAATAACAACAATAATAACAATAACAATAATAATAATAATAATAATAATAATAACAATAATAATAATAATAATAATGATAATCATAATAATAATAACACACACACACATTGGGTTGGGTGTTGGGTCTTTTAATAAAGAACCATCAGGTTGGGTTTTGGGCCTTTTAATAAAAACCATTGGGTTGAGCTTTGGGTCTTTTAATAAAAACCATCGGGTTGGGTGTTGGGTCTTTCAATTAAAAACACACACACACACACACACACATTTGGTTTGGCTTTGGGGCGTTTAATAAAAACCATCGGGTTGGGTTTTGGGCCTTTTAATAAGAACCATCGGGTTGGGTTTTGGGTCTTTTAATAAAAACCGTTGGGTTGGGTGTTGGGTCTTTCAATTAAAAACACACACACACACATTGGGTTGGGTTTTGGGTCTTTTAATAAAAACCATCGGGCTGGGTGTTGGGCCTTTTAATAAAAACCATTGGGTTGGGGTGTGGGTTTTATAAAAATCGAACGGATTGGCCAAAGGCTAAAGAAGCTCTTGGCTCAATCAACTTGCGATCGGTTCAAGAGCGGAATGAGAAATGGACTGACCCCAAACGAAACCCATCCCCGATTTGGTTTCCTTGAAACTTGAGAACAACCTAGATCCTACTTACACACATACACTAATGGCCCGGAATCAGTCCTTCACCGCAAAAAGTGATGACAATGTATGGCTGTAGGCTGATGTCCGTTCCGGATGGTTCTGCCCTGAAAAGCTCCTTTAGGCTCCAGGTACGGTGTAAGCGCACATTTGGAAGCAAAACCATGCGAGCGGGAGGGGGGGGGGGGGGCCAGAAAGGGCCACTCTTTTTCAAGGCCCAAAACAAACCTCGCGACAGGGGCCACTGGGCGCCGGCCTCGCTGAGGTAAGTGAAGCCAAACGGCATGGTCGGCTCGTCACCTACCAAGCTATGCAGGGAAAAGGAGGGGGTCGCTTGTTTTTCTTGCGGCTCCAACAAAGGATCACGAAAAAGCGGGGCCGTGGCTAAAATTGGGATGAACACGAATTGTTTGTTTGAAACAAGGGGGTCTGGAAGACGAATTTCGCTTCCCAGCTCGGATAGTCAGCTTGAAGCAACTTGCGCAACTCTGGAAGAACTCGTTTCAACATGAGAACCACTCGAGAAGGCACATTGAAGTACCTGAAAATCCTTTTCAGGAGTTTGCGCCTCCCACCGGAAACTACTGACAAAAGCAAGCGAACCTGTCCGAGCATTCCAAAGACCAGGCTTCAGATCAACGAAGCTTCTCGAACCTTTTCGGGGCGCAACCCCTCCCACCCCAGCAGTCTCTGACAAAGGACGCAGCTGGGTGCGTCTTTTTGCAGAACCCCCCCAAAAATGGTGTTGTTTCCTTGGCCTCCGTTCAAAAAACTGCAAAAACCTGGGCTACCTGGCGACCTTCAAACAAAGACCCGCCCTGAAGAAGTCGCGCTCCGGAGTCCCAGTGCATCTGCCTGACTCCGGAATCTCCTGAGGAATGCTCAGCTCCGGCGAGAAGATGCCTGAGCGCCACGAGGGAGAACCAACACGCAACTCTGTGTCCGTCGAAACCGACAGCTGTAAACAATGACAACTCGGCCAACCAGGTTTGTCTTGAACTCACCGCACCCCATACTCGCCCAACCCTTGAGAGAAAACAAGAGGCCTCCCGCAAAAAAAGGAAGAAGAAACACAAACGCACCACAAGGAAGTTGTCTTTCAAATATAGGAGACCCCAAACATCTTCGGTTTTCCCTGCAGCTCCTCCTTAAAGCACCCCCCCCTCCCCCCCCCCCCCGCCAAACGGACCTTCGCCAGCTCCGAAGCAAGCATGCGCGCTAAGCGCGGCCCTCGGGTCCCGGGCCCAGGCTCATGTTGGTCTCCAGCGGCACCTCCCCGGGCCACTGGGCCGGGGCCATCTGCGACACGGTGGAGGGAAGAAGCTCCAGCCTCGGATGCCGAGGCTTGCCGGACATCGCGGGGGGGTTTTGGGTTTTTTTTTGGGGGGGGAAAAGGGGGGGGAGGGCGGGGGAGCCTCGGCGATCAGAATCTCTGATTGGATGTGGGGGGGGGGGGGTTGTCAAATTCTTGGGCTCCCCCCAATGTAATCCCAATGGTTGAAGACGGAAAAGGGGGAGGGGTCGAAATCTTAGGCTCCAAATTGATATGGCAAGATTGGGGAGACTTGCGATCGGCTCTCGGGAATGTAGGGAATGAGAAATGGCGCATGACTCCGAGAAAACCCTCCAACTGGTGGCTTCCTTTGAGGAAATCCCGTTCCTTCCCACCTTCCCGAGGGTTAGCACCAGCAAGGATAAGGAAGGGGGTGGTCAAAATCTTAGGAACCCAATGACTTCTTCTCAAGAAAAAGCTCGAGGATCCAGAACCTCTTTTTGGAAGCCCCTTGAAAAGGCAGAAAATTGCTGTCGATCTTTGACCACCCGGAATTGAAGCGGCCAAATGGCACCGGGTCGAGGTCAGTGCTGTTTGAACTACGTTTGACAACCCCCCCCCCATGTTCCTCTGACTTTTCAGCCCGTCCGGTGGTTCACACTGAAAGTGTGCTTGCTACGGAAACTCGGAGTTGGGACCACCAGAGTCGCTTGTTTCAGATAGGGGGGAACCCCAAAAAACGAGATTTCGTTCAAAATTGTGAATTCTTGGGTGCGATAAAGGGAGCACGCCCCCAAAGATGACACAAAAACACACATCCCCAATGGATGCACACCTTGGTGTCTTCAAGAGGGGGTCCCCCGTTCTGCCTTGCTTCGTTGCATGTCTCAACCTGCTGACTTCAACTCAGTATGAGGATTATGGAGGCGGTGTTAGGTGTCTCTTGGGCGGGGGGTTCTTCTGCGTCACATTTGGCGCCTAAATCTTGCCTCTTGCCACTGTCAGCCTTCGTGCGTAGCCGTGAAGCTCTGGGTTGCTCTGCCGCGCTTGAGGGGGGGCGTTGTCTAATTAGTCTGCACGATGCGGTTCTGGCCTCGTTGCGCCCGTGCATTACCAGTTTCGACTTCCCCCCTTTGATACCAAGGTCCTTTTTTGGGCCACCCCAACCGGCCTTCACAAATGAGCCACAGGGCAGGAGGGATACGACCCTAAAAGTGAGACCTTCACAAATGAGCCACAGGGCAGGAGCGATAGCGGGTGGGTCGATCTATGACCCTAAAAGTGAGATAAAACCGTGCTTGGTGCGAGGGAAAAAAAAAAAAACAAACAAAACCGTCTTTCTCCGAAAGGTGCGGTTTGGCCTTTCGGAGCCAAAGAGCCAAAGGGCCAAAGGGCATGGGCTCAGATCTTAGGCACGCCCTGTACCCAGTTAGGCTCTGGCCAGGTCTGTTTAAAGACAGCCAAAATAAAATGGGACGCCAAATAGACATTGCTTCACCTGGGGTTTAACCATGATTAAATTTATGAGCCCAGTTGGAGTTTGCTAGAAGTTCTTGAAAGTCAGTTGGATATGGTCCAAACCCAACCTCATGCGCAGCTCCTTCTACTACATTGTGCGTGCTTTCTTTTTCTGGCAGTCTCTTCTACGGTTTCTGGCAGTATCTGCGGCTCACAAGGGATCTTAGCATCTTTCCTATTTGGGGGGTGTTGTTTTTGGTTGCATACCCTGGGAAAGCGGCAACTTGTTGCTTTGGGTCCCATGCTCGTTTCTGCAGGCCTTTTGCCTTGTGAAGCTCACATGGCCAGTTCGGGGTTGTGTTGAAGGGAAGCTAAAGAAAGACCGAAGCAAACATCTGGCGGGTTCCATGAGACAAACGAATGTCATCTCAACCCTCATGAGGCAACAACTTCGGTACTATTGTCGGGGCTCGTTAAAAGGGGAAGCCAAAGGAAAACAAGCTGAGCCACAATCAAAACCTGGTGTTAAATGGTCTACCCAGAACCATGTAAAGAATTAAGAAGGCGGCCGCAGCTATTTATGGTTGGGATTGCCCCTTTTAACCTTCATCTCCCAGGTTTTGATTGTGGCTCACCTTGGCTTGCCGTTTGTATTTCAAGTCGCCACCTTCCAACGAATGAACAAAATGTCCCATCTTGGCACCCCGCCTGCGTCATCCTCAAGCTTGCCCTCTTTTCTGGGCTGTTCCCAGATCCCCTGCTAAAAGTCTAACTTTTGGCTTAGGGGAAACTACCCCAAAACCCTAAGCTACAAGCCTAAAAAAACCGGATGAAGCTGGGAAAAACTGAGTTGTGTGGTGGTTCCAAACTAAAAAGCCTCAAGCCCAACCAACCATTGCCACTTCCACCCCCAACCCTTTCCGCTGCAACCGAGGGGCGCTACAGGCTCCGGCGGCTTCACCATCCCGAAGCGCGCAGACCCGCGGAGCTCTGCGCCTCGTGGCATTTTCTTCAGCGAAGCGACTGGGAAGAGGTCCGACTCTCAGTTGCCCAGTTCGGACCTGGACTCACTTGCTGAGTGGATGGCCCAAAAAAAGTTCAAACTGTATATTTACCACTAAAATGGTCTTCCCAAAAAGTTTAAAGTTCATGAACTCAGGAAGTGAGTGGAAATACAAGGTGATCACCTTTTGCGCTGCCAGGCCGAAAATTGCTTGCCATGGAAAAACAAAAAGGTCGATGGGATGAAGCTTCGAAAAGGCTTTGGCCCGAAAGTCGAAAGAACAACTCAACACATGGCCCGGAAAACAGGCCTTGTTCAAAGCGCGTGTTGGTTGATGTCTAGATGGAACAATAAAGGCAACACATTGATTTTAGGGTTCTCCCTTTCTAGGATCGAAAGTTTGAGAAGGCAGGAAGCAGTAGGGCAGGGCAGAGCAGGGCAGGGCGGGGCGGGGCAGGGCAGGAGCACAGCAAGTCGGCAGAGCACATCGACCCTGAAACACTTGAAACAAAAGGCATGACGCGATCACATACACACGCACACCAGATAATCAACACGATCAACACAACGCAGCACAGCGCAGCACAGCGCAGCACAGCACAACAGCGCAGCGCGGCGCAACATAACACAACACAACACGACACCACACAAACGCGCACATGGCTTTGTTCCGAAATTGGAAACCCCGCAAAATCAGTAAATAAACTAACATCATGAATAGTAAAGCAAGACATATGCAAGAACATGTGGTTTTTACGCTTGCTTTTCCTTTAACCAACCCAGACAAAAAAGAAAGGTATCCTCTCCCAAAACATGTGGCACCACATCTGTCAAGCGGAACAGCACCATCCACCGCACGCTTCTCTGCCATGCGCTTCGACTCCGGGGCTCTGGCTGCCCTGTTCTTCCTGGACGTAGTTCAGGCGGTTGCCTGGCGATACAAAGCACCGGCGAGGGTTCCACGTGTTCATTTCCCCGGTATATAGTTAAACCCAGCAAGCAAAAAAACGTTGGCTCGAACAAGTGGCAATCCTGGCAGTGCCGCGGATTGCAAAACCCCAACTTTTGATTTGGCTGGATATCTCTAGTGGCCCCTTGTGAGGGAGACCCCAAAAAAATCCAACTGCTTAGGGAAACCTAGTGACCCTTGACCCCCAGTGGGGCAAGGCAGGCAACCTTCTGCTCCACTCTTCTTGGCGCCTACTTTGAAGAGCAGGCCGCACTGACAGTCCAGAACCTCAGCAGCTTCCGCGGCACCAATCACCCTTCCATAGTTGGTTGGGAAAAACCATGCCCAAAAGGGATTCTGAGAACCACAAAAACATCGCCACACATCTTTGCCACTGCCCAGAACAATTCACCTGGGGCGTTCGCGTGACTGGCCAACTACTTGCAGCCAAAGTGTCATCGTCGTACAAAGCCCAGATGTCGAAGATCTCCTGGCAAGCAAAGCTCCCTCTATTCCCCCCAAAACATCGCCCCACTTCACGGCACCTCACTTATTGGCCCTGAAGGCGATGTTTAAAAGACGTTAAAAAATGCACGGATCCCAGGCCATACTACTAAACAAACGTTCGACTTTGCGCTGTTCAATGAGTGAAGAAAAATAATCCACCTCCTCTCCTCTCAAAGGCACTTCAAGCCGCATGAAAAAGTGCGGCTTGCCACGCACGTGCATGATCCAAATTGATCCTCCAATCGTTCTACCCGTAACATCTCATTAGGTTGCATGAATCGGCGGTGTCCGCGTTGTCAGCGCACACTTAAGTGCGAATTCAGAGAGGCCTTGGCTAATAATCTGTATATTCAACATTGGTGCAGTGCGGGTTCCGAGTTGATCATTCACTGGCCCAAGCCTAAAGCGTGAATCAGCGGCCTGCAACCCACGTGCAAGCCCCAGTTCGATCCAACACCTAAAGAGATGAAAGAGAGGGAGAAGGGAGAGGCTGGCCGTTCACTCACCATTTCCTGTCGTCAATTGGCTCCTGCCCGCCACAGCGTGTAGACGAGGGAACGAGGCGGTGGCACGGTGAGAAGGGATAGGGAGACAAGAGACAGATGGGGACGGGTTAATTCCTAAGTTTCTAGACCTTTCGGTTGGGTGCTTAATCCCCGTCCCACGTCCTGTCTCTTTGGCTGATTCGCAGTGCAGCGCAATCAACAACCGTCAACCCCTATGTCAAGACATGCCGCGCAGCACCCCAGGCTCGCCACAGATCTGACTGCACCGCGCCGCCACCGCTGTGGTGTCCACAAACTCCCAGGACAACGACCTCAGCTGACCCCCAGTGGCGACGGCCAGGGCGACCCCGTTGGATCTGACCCCGTTGGGCTTTCCATTGAACCCACAAACAGTGCAGCACTTTTTGCGGAGGGGTCGATACCGCAAGCAAGCCCTCCAGTGACGCATACAAACCCCCCGTTTTCCTGTAAACATTCTTCATGTGAGGCAGCCAGCGGCCTGCGTGGCATCCCTGTTCTCGGCCCGAGGGAGAAAAAAAAAGCACCTCGCCCCTGACGGAAGTTCCGCCCCATGTATTTTACAACTATCAAAGTTACTCCCCAAGTGGTAGGCTAAAAGGAAACCACCCGAGTTTGTGACTTTGATGACCCCCAGAAATGGTCAAACTCATGACCCCAGCTTCGGAAGCCGCGCGCTCGCGCTCTGCCGCGCGGCATATCCGCGGTGTCCAGCTCCGCCGTGCAGGCCGCGCTGAGCAGAGATGAGCCGTCAGAGCTGCCCGCAGCGCCCAGGCACCGGCCCTTGCCTCGCGTTTTTTCCTTTTTTTGTTGGTCCCCCGTGTGGAAGGGACGTGACAACGGACCGAATGAAGGGGTACATCTAGGGCTACCTCCCCAATTCATCCCAGGGATCCTTTCTAGAAAACCTCCGGAAACCCGGGAAGAAACGATGGCTGAAAAGAATGGGGAACCAAGCCCTAGAACGAAGCGCAACCAACGAAGCGCCCAGATCTGAGGTGTGGCAAAACATATGATCTGCTATGGTTGTCACCAATAGCCCCCACCCCCCCCAATCCCAATAGGGTGGGGGGGGGGGGTTTTCGCGACTAAGGCCCATACTTCAGTGCCTGGAGACCAACCTGGTAGCAACAACCTGGGGCTCAGACTTGGGGAGCCCAAAAGGAAAACACAATTTGTTGGGCATCCCAATGACACCGACCCCTTGCCCATAACAGTGGCTCATCTAAACCTTTTAACCTGGCGCGGACAATCGGGCTGGGCGAGTCAAGCCCTTGTAACACAGTTCCCCTTTGTGCTGGGCTTTTTGTTCAAGACTTGCCCAACTCATGCAGGGTGTTTGGGAAAGAGCTGAGAAGCTGACGGGGTATGTCTCCTTTTTGGGCGGCACCCCCTTTTTCGAAGGTGCAACACTTGAAGCGCCTGGGGCGTCTCCCGTTCGCCAAGCATTGCTCAAAATGGAATCCGGACCCCTTTTGGGAGAAGGCGAACCAAGAGGAAACCAATACCTACTGTGGATGGACGAAATCCTGCACCGTTCAGAAACCCTGGTTTCTGATGATTCCCCTGTAATTACCAAGAAACAGCGGTTTCAACCATGGTTTTAAAGTGATGCGAACGGAGTTCGTCCATCCACAGTATGGGTACCTGAAATCTCTGACCGGAGGGCAGCCTCCGCCCATTTCCGCTTTTTGGTCAAGCGGAATATTTTTTGGGGCAGGCGCGGGGTATTGGCGTTTTTGAGTTGTCCAAACTCAAGCTGATGGCAATTCCCAGGCGTGTGAACCGCCTTTATAACTGGGTGGAACGGACATTTGTCAACGACAAAACCAAAATCGCTTGCCTTTAAATCCCCATGGCTAATTCATCCGGGCGCTTCTCACAATGGGGCCCCCGCATTTTACGGGGAAACCAAGAGGAAACCAGCTACCTCGAAGGGGCCCCCAACTTTGAGAAACACCCCATGTGTATCACCTGGAGATGCGTTTTCGGATCCCACCTAAGCCGTTTTCGGAGAGCGAGGCGAAAACGGGAAACGCAACCCAGGCGCCCTCGATCAGCAAGCGCGACGTCTTGTTGTCCAGCCTCGGATGTGGCGTGCCCCAGGCGCCATGTGCAAGGCGGGGGAGAAGTTCTACACAGAACTTGTGACGCTTGGGGACTGGTGGGATGTGCTCCATATTTTCGGTATCCCCAAAAGACGGCCCTGTCTTGGGGAATCGAGACCTTTTGGGGTTCCACGTGAATCTGGGAGTGGTAGAGAGAAAAATATGTCATACCAACCCACGAGAGCCAATGCCCTCACCAAATCTGCTTGTTCCGCCTGTCATGCAAGGAATCCACTTCACACTGCTGCCTCGGAGCTCGGGCACCCCAAACATTGATGGCTTGGGCAGATTGCTCTTCTGGCTGCTGAGCTATCCCCCAATCCCGCCTAAACCCCCCGTTCCTGCTCCCCATACTTGTTGCTCTGAAAAGTCTCCCAGCCACCCACAGACACTTGCAACATTGTACCATTATCAACCTCACCCCCTAAATGGTAGCTTCAACGGAAACCACTCCGGTTTCTGTCGTTGATCAACCCCAGAAACGGCCAAAAGAATGACCCCAGCACCAGCCAAGCTGCTGGAAGGTTTGGAAGACATCCGGCAAGCCGCAGGTTTGCATGGACACGGGCACAGTGCCCACTGTTCCATCCTGCGGCATGGAGACAATTTGACGCCAAACATGGTGACTTCCCTGGTCTGCCCTTACAACCACTCCAACAGGGGCACCCTTCTAAAAAAAAACAAACTCCAATATGTCCCGTCCCAACTCGGTCTTGGCTCCAATTCGCGCCTTCCAGGGATCCGGGTCTTTCCAGAAAACCGCCCAGAGACCACTCGGGGAATCCGAGTTGGAACTTGAAAAGAACGATGATGGGCAAGCATGGGAACCAACCCTGGAGTTGGTTCCAAGGAATTGCATGACGCCTTGTGAGGCATCGAAAGCTGGCAAGACTCGGCCATCCTGTGGGTGAGTCTTTTGTGGAGGGCAAGCAAAATCAAGTATACCGGCTTCATGTGCTGCGCAGAGCAGGCTGCAGAAGGCGAATCATGAGCACTTGCCTTTCTCAAGATGCATGCCTCTTCAAGTAGCATTCCGGACATTCCATGTATGAAATTGGCGGCTTGGTTTGGTGGTTTGGGGATTTCCAACCGCTGGGTCCTCTTGAAACCAAAAACCGGAAGCTACCTCCAACCCAATCCGCCGAGCAATTCGAATCAAGGCGTTTCAAGCCAACCCTCTGAGTCGCGCACCGCAGCAGAAGTGGTTGTCACGTCATAGATCGTTGCGCAAAGACCACCTGAGTCAGACTCAAAACCTGTGGCTGGGCAAAATCAACATTTTGCACCGCTTCGGATTCCATGGTTGAAACCCTTGCTTTTTGGTACTTACCAGGGGGAAGCGAATCAGAAACCAGGGCTTCTAAATGTGTCCAGAATGGATTTCGTCCACAGTACAAAACAACAAATGCCCCCAAACCCATGGTGCACGGAGTCCTAAGCCTCTGGGCCGCAAGCGGTTGGTTCGGAGAATCCAGAAACTAATTATCCTTCATCTACCCAAATCAACTGGTTGCTGTTGAACCCTCTGCAAAAAGTGTTTAACTGTTTGTTGGTTTAGTGAACAACTCCTTAGTCTAAGGATCCAACCCAACAGCAGTCAAGAAATCCAAACTTTAATTGTGTCTGGCCGTCTTCCCTGAAAAAGATCGCACCTGAGCGCACGGAACCCAAGCTGACTTTGGGCTGTGCTGTCATGGCAAGGTTTATGTGGGGGTTTCTCAAAATAGGGGACCCCTTTTGCCAAAAGGAAACCAACCCTTTTTGTTGGGCGTCCCTTTGAGAAACACCCAGTAACCCGGTAGTAGAACCTGCTAAGATCGCGGAAGTGGCTTCTGGTGATGCTCGGCTCGGCTTGAAGACTCTCGCGTTTCCACCTGTGAGAAACTTAGCGAGTCCCCGAATAAGCTGATTTGGCCATGGGTCAAAATCCAAATCGTACCCCAGTGAACATCCCAATCCCCACAGACTTAAATGGGTGGTGCACCTAGCCCAAAATGGTGCCATTGGCTTTGACCCACAGCCATTTCTTTGACGGAACCTCATGCTACAGCATGTCTGCCAGTTGCATTCTCTGCATGAGTGGCACGCTGATTTGACCCTCCCTGTTGTTGAGGGTCAAGCAAAGGGTTCCACAATTCCAAAGTGAGATAGCAGTCAAACCAGCTGTCAAATCCAAGTGGGCATCGACCTGACCCAATGCAAATAGATCTTAGTGGTCAATCGCGGTGTTTGGTGTTTGGAGTGCGGGGTTCAAATTGTGGGCCCCTGTTGGGGCCCTTTTGCGCCTTTTGTCATGTGCCCTTTTTGAGATGTGTCCTAAGAAGCGTTCTCGTTTTGTCGACTTTCAGTGTCCTTCAATTTACAGAACCCGAGTCATTCCATCGCGAGTCAAAAGAGGCACCCAGAGCTCAAGTGGCCATGGGAAGAACTGGTACCAGTCTTGTTTGGTTGCTTCTTTTCAGGAACCCTTTCCAACCATACTGCGCCAGTTAAGAGAAGGAACCAACAAATTGTTTTGGGTCCACCCCAAAATTTGAGATCCTCGAAAAAGGCGGGGGCGCCTTAAACGCGGCACGGCGATTGAATCGCTTGACCTTGACCCCGGTTTAGTTGGGCCCCGGCTCTTCGAGTTCTTGAGGTAACCTTCCGAGGTCAGCTCGAAGAATTGATCCTCAGGTGAGCCATAATCAAAACCTGGTATTAAAATGGCCGTAATCCCAGAACCATCTAAAGAAAGAAGAAGGCGGCCGCAGCTATTTATGGCTGGGATTGTCCCTTACTACCCTTCATCTACCCGAGTTTTGATTGTGGCTCTGGTAACGAGGTCCCAACTGCCTTTGAGAACCCGCCCTATGCGCGCCGTGCTCAAGACTCTGGACACAGGTGGCCTTTTGGAAAAATAGATGCCAAGGCTTGGTAAATAAAATAAACCCCATCTAAACCAGGGCCCTCTATCTTTTAAGCAAACCAACCAAAAAGGACACCTATGACTCTGGAGTTCTCATGAAAGGAAGCTATACAATGAAGCTATCGTTGCGCGCTTTTCAATGACTCAAGTCAGCAGGTGTGTGATCGAATAACGACACCCACCGTCCGTGGATCTGCCCGGAGTAGTTCTAGAAGGTGCTTTTTGTCACAGTAAGGCACCATTTGCCGCCGCTCGAACTGGACACACAACATGTGGCTGTGGTTGTCAAAACCGCTTTGGGATCCCATTTTGGTTGGTCGGTGAATTCACCACCCATTTTAGAACCTACTTTAGTGGGGATTGACTCGGATGTTCACAGGGGGCTAACCGATTTGGATTTTGAAAAGCCCGTGGCCATGTCTCAAACATTTGCTTTCAAGTCGGGCAGTTGGAACAACGGTCAGTCGGGCCTACAAATAGGCCTGCCCCTTGAAGACGACAAGCCGAGCTAGACATTAAATTCTGGCGAAGCCCAGCTCGGACGAATGCCAAGAGCGGCATCTACAAGCCAATAGCCTGGCAAAAACCTCCCCAAGGCACCGATTCAAGCTTCTACCGCCTTCTTCTATTTTGTGGTTGTGGAGGTCGTCACCACAAAAACCGTGGGGCCGGGACAGAGGGACGGGATCTTGTTCTTGCAGCCAGAGAAGAGCCCGGCCTCTGTGCAGCTGATGCGGGCCTCCTCTTTTCGGATGGGTGTGGCGAAACGAAGCGAACTGGCAACGTGAGAAAAGACGCAGCTGGACCTTGCACTCTTCAAGGGTGGCCTCCAGGGCCGCGAGCTCGCTGCTTGCCCCGTCCACGTCTCGAAGCCCTTGACTTCCGGAAAGAAGGTGTCCCGTGGGCCCGGCGGAGACTTGCCGCTAGGGCCCACGTCCTTACACGACTCGCGTCCGACTCGCGTTGAGCATAGGACTGGTACAGGACGCAGTCGCACCGACTGCCGGTCCCGCCTGTGTACCAGCCGTAGAAGTTGCACTTTGGATCTGCGGCGCACTCATCCTCGCACTCCTGCCTGCTGGCCCCATCAAAGGCATGATAGTCCGCACGTGTCTCGCCCGTTGTGTTGTAGCAGTACTTGCCTGCATACTCCGGGACCTCGCTGAAGCTCAAGGTTGTTGTAGTCGTAGTGGTTGTGGTCATAGAGGTTGTGGTCGTAGTGGTTGTAGTGGTCGTTGTGGTTCTTGTAGTTCTGGTTGTGGTTGTGGTTGTGGTTGTGGTGGTGGTGGTGGGGGCGGCGGCGGCGGCGGTGGTGGTGGTGGTTTTGCAAGCACACAGTCGGACAACACCATGTGCCGCGTCACAGCTGACTACTGCGGCGGCCTGTAAACGAATGCAAATGTGGTCCGGACCGTAATACGGGGCAAGGGCGGCGAAGGCCTGAAAGGTGGTGGAGTGTACTGGATTATGCTGATGACTCGCGTTGTACTTCTACGCTTGCATTCATCTCAGCATCGATCATGCTGGACCAGGCTCCTTTTGCTTTGCATCATATGTTCTCCATCATCAAACATGTACAGGTGCGCCTGCACACGGGCTAGCTAGTCCGGTAGAGTCAAGAAACAAGCTGGCCCGAATCGGGAAACTGGCGAATCCCGAATCGGGCCCAGGCAAGAAACAGGGAAAGAAGGCTTCGAGTCGGGAAACATAGTGGCTCCCAAGTGTTGGCGTCGGAAAAAATGAGTTTGGAGCCAAAAGGCTTTCAGCTTTTAGGAAACCGCTCAGGCGAACGGGAGAGTGGACGCAGCCAAGCTGCCTACATTTGATGCGATTCTCCCCTCAACATTGGCCTGGACCCTTTGCACTTGCACCATCGCCACATCATTGCAGCCTTCCTGGGCTGAGACACATATCCGAATGGTTGTGGAGCACGTCCTGAAGGTCCCTTCTGATCGCGCTGAAGGCCTGAGGGTCCTTGCACAGCACGAGCTGCAAAGACAGGGAGAATGATGCCAACCGCAATGCCATAGGAAATGAAAGGAGAGGCTGGATGTTGGGAGGTCTGCCGTGAGCAAAATAGCCTCATGGGCACGCTCTTCTTTTCGGGTTGTAAAGGTCAACCGCAAAGACCAATTGGACGACGATACTCGAAAACGCGAGAAAAAAAAAAGAAGAGATATCGGTGCAACGAGGCGATTAAATCGGTTTTCGAGATGTTCGAAACGATCATAAAAGTTCATCCAACAAACTGGGAAACCGACCAAACCTGACCTCGCCCATACCAAGATGGTTGTAAAGGTTCATATGGGGGGGCTGTCGTTTTTTGAGTCGGCGCCCTAAATGTTTGGAGGTTTAGGAAGACCAAAAGGAAGTCCAAAAGGAAAACCGAATCCACTGTGGTTGCCCGAGTACCATTCCCTTGGTGGGGCAGGTGATGTTTGGTGGTTTTTTCAGTACCCTTTTCAGGGTCCCAAGGCAAATCCAGAGCTTCAGCCCACATTCACCAGGTCCAGTAGTTCGAGGTTAGAATAAGAGCATCAACTTTTTCTGCAGTCTATTTTAGTAGGGGGAACCCTCCCAACCAAGAAAGAAATGGGTGAGAACGGGCGCCAATTGCTGGGGGACCTAGTTCAGCGTCCGCCCGAGGCCGGCGCCGTGGTGGGGTGATGCAAGCTGCAGTCTTGAAGCTCCACGACGGAGGCGTCCAGGTCTGGCGACGAAGACGACGGCAAATTGGTGGCGTGGGACAAGGAGGGAGCTACGGCCATAGGTGGCCAATAGATGGCCCTGGTAAATGGGGCAAAAACTCCATCCAAACCAGGGCCCTCCATTTTTTAACCAAACCAACCAAAAAGGACACCTATGGCGCCCCAGTCGCAGCTGGAAGCTCCGTGACTTGAAGGTTTGGAGTTGTTGCTTGTTTGTTTTTTTCTCTGGGGTGTTTTTTTCTTCCGATTGGTGGTTTGGAGGTTGGGGGGGTGGTTTTGCGTGTTTTTTTTCATGTGCGTGAACCAGGGGTTGAAATCCCCAAACCACCAACCCAGACCCACAACGAATTGGTGGTTTGGATTGGTGGCTTGGAGTTACAAGTGTCCGCAAAAAAACAAGCGGTTGTCCGGGGTACCCTCTTTCCAACAATACAGCAAGAACGATTACATATTAGCTTGCAGGATTGTACCTCACTGACCGACACCGGAACCGCGCGCTCGCACGGCTGGGCCCTTGATGGACGTCAGACACCTCTGGGGCTTTGGGTAGCCGCCAAACATTTGGAGCGAGTTGCCACAAAGGAATAGTTGACCCCCGTTTGAGCCTCTTGGCTCATGGGTCCCAAATAATACTTAATCAAACACACACACACACCACACAACATACAACACACCCACACACACACACAACACACACACACAGAGACGCACAAACACACACACACACACAGAGACGCACAAACACACACACACACACACACACACACACACACACACACACACACACACACACACACACACACACACACACACACACACACACACACACACACACACACACACACACACACACACACACACACACACACACACACACACACACACACACACACACACACACACACACACACACACACACACACACACACACACACACACACACACACACACACACACACACACACACACACACACACACACACACACACACACACACACACACACACACACACACACACACACAACACACACACACACACACACACACACACACACACACACACACACACACACACACACACACACAAACACACAACACACACACACACACACAAACACACAACACACACAACACACACACACACACACACACACACACACACACACACACACACACACACACACACACACACACACACACACACACACACACACACACACACACACACACACACACACACACACACACACACACACACACACACACACACACACACACACACACACACACACACACACACACACACACACACACACACACACCACACCCACACCCACACCCACACCCACACCCACACCCGCACCCACACACACCCACACACACACACACACACACACACACACACGCACACACAATCGCCACCCAGGGGGGGATGCTGCCTGGGCAGGCAGCAGAGCCTCAAGCAAAGGGCGGGACAAGCGCTTGCTGCTGTGTCAACCAACCCAACCTTTCGCAAACCATCCCTTCACAAGCAGCAGCTGACTGGGGCCGGGCAAGGTTAGTTGCTTGCGTGATAAATCTGCAACCGGTCCCACACACACACACACACAAACACAAACCTTCCCTTTGCTCCAATCGTGGCTCCAATGTGGACCAGATATCCGGGCTGTGCTGGCCCCGCAACAAGCTATCAGCCCAAGAGTTCCTGATACCTGCGACATGCGTCAAGCGCAAATTGATCTTCTGCGTCCAGCAGAAACGCGACATGGCTTGCAAAACACAAGCCAGCGGCTGCTTTGTGGAAAGGCCCCTTGCCGGGCACACACACACACACACAGTTGACGCATGGCCAGCCAAGCCATGTTAGCACCCTTGGGCCCGTGCGGCTGCTGGGACCACAACAACGCAAGCTGCGCCAGAGCTTCCAACGCCGCGATCACTCCATCTGTATGGAGAACCGGTGGACATTGCCGGGTTCCGGTGGCATGCCTTGTGGCAGCCACCATCCTAATCCAGCCTGCTCCGCGCAAGCATAAGCAGCCGCGGCCGTCGCTACCCCCGGGATTTCAAAAAGCTCAGCGGAAAAAATGACAACCGCTCTCTCTTCTGCTGATAGTTTCTGCATCCGGCTCGCCAAACTTCAACCAAGCCCGGCCTTGCTTGAGTGGGACACACAACAAGTCGGCCGGCCCTTGCACAGGGCGTCCCGCACAAGGAGAAGGTTAGTTGCTTGCATGACATGCAACCGGTCCCACACACACACACACACATGACAAGTGTATACATATATATATATATATATTTTATACATACACATAGATCCATGTTCCGCATCAACGCGAAAGTGGCCTTGTGGGTCGAGGCAGTTCTTGTACTCCGCGTTTCGCAGCCTGAGCTGGCTGAAAACGGCTCCATGCTTGGTCTAGAATGTCCATCATCCACTGTTCGTGGTCGGAGTGTCAACGCATGCGCCACGGTCAAAAAGACGTACGTGGGCCATACAAGTTCGCTCAGGACCCTTCACATTGGTCGTTCGCTCACCCCTAACCACGGAACACATGACCGGACAATATGATTTGCTCCGAGGGCGTGGGAAAGTGGGGTCTCGTGTTCGCTGGGAAACTTGAGTGGGCCTCTCATGTCCTACCCAAAACACGAAACCCACAGTTTTGTCAGTGACTCAAAACAATGGCAAGAAACAGGAAAAGCAGCCAGGAACTGGTCCGAATCCCTTTCACATCCAGTACAAATTTGCTGAACGTGTGATTTAGACGACTCAAGAGAATGGACAACTCCACATCTCCAACTGTAAAAGATTGAGCCTGAATCGCCAGTTGCTGCTTTTTCCCAACTGTGATCGTTGTTTGTTTGGAATTGTTTTTTTGTGGGGGGCGGGGGGCTTATTCACCCATTCTGTCTGCAAAAGACAAACCAAGAAAATCGGTTCAAAACGCCACCAACTTGGCAAAAACTTGGGTGTGGGTCAAAAGAAAGCGACCAGGATACGGACCGCAGACTTTACAATGTCTGTTTCCATCCCAGGGTTTCAGTTTGGGTACCTAGTTTTGCTGGGGCGTATTCACCCATTCGATCTGCAAAAAGCCAAACCGAAAGAAAATCGCATCAAAACGCCACCAACTTGGAAAAAGAAACTTGGGAGAAAAGCACCGCAGAGTTGAGTCCGTGTTGTTCCATCCATGGGTAAGTGTTTGACCTCCATCCCACTTGGCGAAAACCTCGGGAGAGAAGCCCGCATGTTTTGAGTCCGCGTTCTTCCATCCCAGGGAAACTCTTTCGGTAAGTTTTTGACCCACCATTCAGGTTTTGACCCCCCATGAAGCTCCATCCAGGGAAACGGTCTGGGTAAGTTTTTGACCCCCCCCTTTTCAATGACTGTTCGGGGTTTTGACCCAGGGCGGTTTGACCCGCGTTTCCACCCAGGGAAACGGTCTGTTGACCCCCCCCCTTTTCAATGACTGTTTGGGGTTTCCCACCCAGGGCGTTTTGACCCGTGTGTCCATCCAGGGAAACAGTTTGGGCAAGTTTTTGACTTTTTCCTTTCCAATGGACCCAGGGCGTTTTGACCCGTGGTTTTCCGTCCAGGGAAGCAGACGGGTTGCGTAGGGTTTGACCCACGCTTCGGACCAGGGCGCAGCCCCTTGCTGGGCCCCTGGTCCGCCGACGCCTCCACGAAGGCCCAGACTTGGTCCGTGATGATCTGCGCCGAAGCGCCCCGGTCCGGAAGGGGAGGGGGGCTTGGGGGGGGGAGTTGGGGGGGTTGGGTTGGGTTGGGGTTTTGGTGGGATTCCCAAAAGGAGACCATAGGTTTGATGTTTTCTTTTTTTGGATTCCCCGAAAGGAAGCCATTTGCATGGTTTTGGTCCCGGCTGTTTTAGGTTCGAACAGTTCCCGGATGCTTGGGCAAGCCAAGCGTCCTCGCGGGAGGACCAGGAAACCGAAGTCCAAACCCAAAGGACAGGGAACAAGAAGCCCCTCCGTCAAATACCAACCGCTGTCAATGCGTGTTTCCTCTTGGACTTCCCTTTACAAATTGGGGCTCACTATTTTGAAGAGGATTTCAAACCAATCCGGAAGGTCAAAAAAGAATTTGGACCCTTTTGGAGCGTGATTTCGTGTTCAGTTTGCCTCGGAACCCGCCAAACAGAGAATAATTTCAATCGTATCGACTGAACTTTCGGGTCCCACTAGTGGTTGACATCCTCAAATCTAGTGTGTCGTGCCCTTTCAAGTCGATATGTGTTTGTGGCATATATGTTCCAGTCCCCAGGCCACCAACCCCCCGCGCCCCCAAGAACAGGCCCCCCCCCTGAGCCCACACCCCGCTGCTGCGTTCCCAGACCCCCTCCTCGAGCCCCTGAACTTGCACCCTTGCATCCCGACACGCAGGACCCCCCCTTGGGTTTGATTAGGGTTGGTTTGGGGCGGGTATAGGGGTAGTTTAGGGTTGGTTTAGGGTTGGTTTAGGGTTGGTTTAGGGTTGGTTAAGGGTTGGTTAAGGGTTGGTTAAGGGTTGGTTAAGGGTTGGTTAAGGGTTGGTTAAGGGTTGGTTAAGGGTTGGTTAAGGTTGGTTAAGGGTTGGTCTAAAGTGGGTTTAGGGTGGGGGTTGTGTTGGCTTGGGGTTGGTTTAGGGGTGATTTAGGGTTGGTTTAGGGTTTGTTAGGGGTGTAGGATTGGTTTAGGAACATATATACCACTTTTCCAAGGTTTACAACCCCCACGCCTCCAAACCCCAGACGTCTTGAAGAGGGCCTTGATTTCAATGGGGAGACTCAAACAAAAGACTTGCTTCGCCAAACCAGCTCCCTCAACCCAACACATACGGGTCCCTAAAAAGTGATCAGGCAACCGTTCCCCCCAAACCCTAAGCTATAGCCGCAATGGTCCCAACATTTGAGCCAGGAAGGAAACCAAAACACCTGTGTTTGGGTCCCTTTCGAGAAACTCGCATCCGGAAATTCAGAGGGAACTTTTGGTGTGTCACCGCCTCCTGACACATCGGCGGTCCCGAGTAGGCGCCGTTGTTGTAAATCCAGGTGGCGCTGCCTCAAAGTTCCGGCCGCATCGAAGCTCCAAGTTCTCGTCGGGGAGAACAGGGTCTACCACTTTGGAGGCTGGGTCTTGTTCAACATGGATGGGTCTTTTGGAGGCTTGGTACCTTTTGGCGGCTTGGAAAGGAAAAACAACCTAAGGTGACACCTTACCATGTTCGGCACTTCGAGACACATCCCATAAGAACTGATCCCCAAAAAGACGGCAAGTGTCTCCTTGTGGCTGCCCCTTGACACATCATCCACCTTCCGGGGGTCCATTAAAAAGGGTTTGCTTCACCTCGACCTCGGCATAGGCACTTTGCGAAGAGACATGGTGCAACACCACCTGGTTTTCCCCACCAACGCTCCCAACAAAAGCCTCCAGCCCCCCTCCCCCAAACCACTCCATCCCCAATCCCCCCATTGGTGCAACTACCCCCCCCCCCCCTCCAGCAGCCCCTGGCAGCCACTGACCGCTCGCAGTCGCGGGGCTGTTCTGCAGGTGGCAGCCCCCATTGGTCCACCACCCAAAGTGCGCGCAACCGGCCACCGACGCACAGCCTCAGCCATTTGCTCCCATGGACCACTGGTCTGGTTCACTTGGTTGCAGTGGGAACAAAAAAAGAAAACCAAGCGTTTGCTTTTGTTTGTTTGTTTTTTTTTTTTTGGGGGGGGGGGGCCAAAGCATTTGCTTGGTTTGTTGGGGGAAACCAAAGCCTTTGATTGGTTTTTTGTGGGAGGCCAATGCATTTGGGTGGTTCTGTAGAGAAAGCCAACCGTTTGGGGGGACCAATCATTGGGACGGCTCCCACGGAACCGACCCGATCAGCACAAGGCTACTTTGGGGCTACTTCGAAGGTACCCCGAACCTGTTGTTTGGCTATGAACCCAAAAAAGCAAAACCGGCTTCCTCGAAGGACACATCTAAGAACCGACCCGCTGGGGATCCTCTAAATCAGCTGCCCTTCAAACTGGCCATGTGTCCTTTGAGGACCCGCCCTGCACAAGGATCGAACTTGGGGGTGTCCTTTTGAACCCTGAAAGGGTACCCTCGAAAAAGGACACGCGCGGTGTGGAAAAGGACAGGTTTTGAAAGGAAGGATGAGGTGAAAGCTTTGTGGAAAGTTAGATCTTTGTGACACTTTGAGTGGCCAAGGAATCACCTTGAAAGTGATAAGAAATCGTCAGGATCACAGAAAAGGATGATTCCCACTGGAAACCAGCTGGCATTAAAAGGAGGATGGCGTTGTTTTTTGTTTTTAGAATGAACAGCCCACAAGCCGGCCGGAAAGACCAGCTGGTTTTGAAAGGAAGGATGGCCAAAAGGGGAACGAGGGAATCCCGTAATGTATGAAGGTGAGGGCATATGTCCACTACATGGGGACGTTTGTCCAATACGTTTTTTCCTATGCGGGAATAGGGAACATGTTGTGGATCAGCCCAAATGGTTCAACCTGTTCTTGGGAAAATGTTTGACCCTCTGGCGGAATGGGGGGAAACCAAAAGGGTAGCTCCTTTAGCCGCGCCCAAACAGAAGCTGGCTCTCAATGAGATCCCCTCAAAGAAAACCAGCTATGCGTTGGATGCTTCAGTTCTGGGTTCCAACTCATTCACTCACTCAGCCAATGTGATGACAGTAGAACGGGAAACGGTGTCCTTTCGTTTTCCAGGGCCCCGTCAAAATGTCCATGCGAAAGGATCGGCACTCCTTTGGTCGATTTCAGAGAAGCCAATCCAACCAGCCCCGGCCCCGCCTGCGGCCGCTTCCTTCCCTTGTTTGCCCAGCATCTGTGAGTAGTCTTAGGGCTTTCTTCCCTTGCTTTCCCAGCATCTGTGATTAATTTTAGGGCGGAGCGTCTGCCAAAGGGGTTCTATCTCAACCTGCAGGGAAGCATGTGCATGTTGTGTACAAGCCGAGTCAACCAATCCGCTACCCCTCCCCTTGCAACATGCAATTCTACACAACGCGAACTAACAAATCCCTGTTTTTTGATTGATATGGGGGTGTCCCTGGTTTTAGAGGGGGGATTTCTCACTTTTGGAGTGGAGCCTCCGCAAAAAGGCGACCTCACGCTCCAAACGCCTCGCTCCAAACACCTCGAACCCGGTCGAGCAGCGGGTCTGGCAGGCCTCTTCACTGGGCTCGGTGCTGCGGCCTGGCGCCAAGCGCGACGATGATTCGCGGCGGTGGCCAGGGACGTGGCCATGGGCCCAAATCCCAAAATCCAAATCGTAGCCCCAGTGAGCATCCGATTCAATCCAAGCACTAAAATAGACTATATAAAATGGATGGTGAATTCACGTACCAACCAAAATGGTACCAAAAACGGTTTGGACCCACAGCCACATCGCGTGAAGGGTTGCCAGATCGCCAGTCGGTTGCCTCGTTTCGTCCGGCTGTCGCTGATTTTTGGGGGGTTTCTCGGTTTCTCGTGTCGGGACAAAATGGGAAACGCGGCGGGGGGGGGGGGTAATGGAACATGATTGAAAAGCGTGCGGGCTTCCTGGGCGTCCCTCAAACAGAGACGCCGCCCAAATCGAAACGGTTTCGATTTGCCGGTTTACGTGGATACGGAATATGGAGTTGGAATGGGACTTGCCACGGGTAAATCATCAAATCGATAACTACATTAACACAGCTCCAATGATACAATGCCAACGCTGGATTAAATAGTAGGTGGACATGGGGATATGCAAGATATCCACTGTATGAACTTCTGTCACTGTCGTGTCAACTTCTGGATTCATCTGGGGGATCATACAAATCAGGAATGGTTTCTCTTCTAGCGGAGAACGTTAGAACCCCCCCCCCAAAAAAAAACAAAAAACAACTCCAAATCATGTACCGGGTGTCTTTTGGCTTCCATTGAAGCAACGCGCAAATAAAGCAGCCTTAAATTTTGCACTAGCATGGACCCCAGATAGCAAGCATAGAACCCGGCGACCGCACTTACCAACAGCACTTCGCGCCGTACAGCACCCTGAGATTCTTAGTCACACCTACTCTCCAGGCACAACGGAAATCCAGCCAACCTGTGTCACCCCCCCTCTTCTTTACTTGAAGCTGGACCCCGTAGTCGATCCACCTCCTCCTTTTCGGGAGCCATTAGCTTTCAGCTTGGGCAAAAACCATGCCCGAAGAAACAGGAAGTCTGCAAATGTGTCCCACCCACCACAACAGCAAGCACCAAAACTGGAAAACCCGTCGACAATGGTCACCAACCCTGAGCCGCTGCAAGACTTTACCCTTCCAAAAAAGGATTTGCAAGAACCTTCCATGGACTGGACCAAGCAAAATGAGGCCCTTGGTGCAGCAGAAAGTTCCCCACTTCAATTCAAGGGCGTCGCTTTCCAGCTGATTAAAGGGCGACCTGGCAATGCCACAGCTCAATCTAGTGGGGTCAGGCACATGCGGCCTTTTGGAAAAATAGATGGGTTTCCCTGGTAAATGGAACAAACCCCATCCAAACCAGTGAAACCCGTCTATTGTTCACCAAACTAACCTATTTTAACACAGGACACCAGCAGGGTCAATCCATGCGAGGCAGCAACAGGGAGCCCTGAAAGCTCCATCGGGGGAGAATTGGGCTCCCCCGACAATGTGCAAACTTTGGGGTCTAGTGTTTTTTTTTTTGCGTGGCCGTGTTTTATTTCTGGAATACTCCCCTACAAATTCACATGTGAACTACGCAAAGGGGGGGGGTCCCCAAAAGAAAGCTGTTCTCAAACTTTGCGGCGATCGCCTCGCCAAAAGGAAGCTCGGTTTCACCTTGTCCTTTTCAAAAGGTGAGGTTTCAATCCAAAAGGGGAAATATAGGGACGCTGGGAAACGGTCTAAAGGGAAACTGAACAAGTGTCACCCTTGTTTTGGGGAATGGGTTCGGATTCCATTGAGACAAACCCGCAGGGTCGGTGCAGCGTCCCGGTTCGAGCGGCTCACAACATCCGCGCGCCCAAATCGCGAGGCGAGTGGCTCTGGCCCGTCATGTCCAGTGGGTCCCACTGCACGCCCTTCCGCCAGCAGGAGCCCTGCAGTGGAAACCAGAAACTGCCGTGGCTTTCAGCCACGGGCTGAGGCCAGTTGCGATCGCTTTTTCCATCCGCTTTACTCCAAACACCCGCAACAGTGGCAAAGCAGAAACTTAGCTATTTGGGCTCTTCCTATCAAGTTCCCAGGGCCAATCAAAATCGTTCCGTTGGCTATGTGAAGTTACACACCCACTTGGCTGCTCAGAAAACATGGACTTCCCAAAATGGCACCTTGGTTTGGTGGAACCAAAGACGAAAACCTGCGACTTGTTTTCGAGCCACACCCAGCTTCAAGTCGGGGTCCCCGCACGGGTTCACAACTTGCAACTTGCCTCTTGCCGCTTGCCTCAGCCTTACCTCCAGCTGCTTCCGCCGGAGCCTTGTTTTTTTTTTGTTTCTTTCCCCCGACATCCGCTGAAAGGAAACTGAAACTGGCAAGGGAAAGATCGAGAGCCGACGATTTATGAAGCACCATACTGCCTTGCGAGAACGCCCGTGAAACCAACCAAGAGCCGGCTGAACCTCTTGAGGCTCCAATTTTGACCATCCTCAAAGTCAGCCCCCAAGTGGCAGGTTGAAGAATAAGAACCAACCAGTTTCGCGCTTCGACCCCAGAAACATTCAACGCAATGAGCCCAGAGAATCACAGCTCCATCCGGCCTGCAGCTCGCATTGCTTCCATTTGATGTCGGCGCCGTCATAGCCATAGCTGCCGTCAGTGTCCTAACAAAGCTGGGCCCCCCCCCTCCCCACACGTCAAAACTACCCAACACTCCCACCCCCCACATGTTTTCGGGTTTTGAGGCTTGGCACCTTGGTTGCCTCCAGAAGTGCCACCCAAAAGGGATTACGTGTGTTGGCTCTGACTCCTGCCTTAGTGGCAAAACCAGGTGTCTTTTGATGAAGGCAGCTTCGGCACGCAGCTTCGGCGAGAAAAAAAAGGACGCCCTGCAACCATTTTTTGTGATGGGGCGTGTGAAGGAATCACCCTTCTCAAGGAGGGACCCTTGAAAGAGTTCGGCGTAGGTCCGGTTTGGCACAAATCCTCCTGAGGTCGCATCATCTTCCGAGGTCGCAACGCTCGACCCTCCCAATCCCAAGATCCAAGCGGCCAAGCACTTGGCGCTCCACTGGCTCTGGATGAAACCTCACGGCTGCAAAGCTACAGGGCTACAGGGCTACAGCGGGCCCAGAAATGTCTTTCCATATAAACTCACTAAAGCAAACGCGTGCCAAAATGGGTGTGGGTCAAAATTAAACCACCAGGGGACCGCTTATTTTAGTCATGGGTTCCATTTACCAGGGTTCCATTTTGGGTACCCAATTTTGACCCACAGCCAAATGATCCCAAGAAGTCACCCTTGGCACTTTCGGGGGCACCCTGGGTGTTGCACATTTCCGCCGCGCCTGTGTCATGAAAGACGAAGCGCTTCTCGGTGGTCTCGATCCTGAATGAAGTGAGCCGGAAAAGGCAGACAAACAAACAAACAAACAAACAAACAGACAGACAGACAGACGGACAGACAGACAGACAAACAAACAAACAAACAAACAAACAAACAAACAAACAAACAAACAAAACAAAACAAACAAACACACAAACAAACACACAAACAGGCAAACAAACAAACAAACAAACAAACAAACAAACAAACAGACAGACAGACAGACAGACAGACAGACAGACAGACAAACAAACAAACAAACAAAACAAAACAAAACAAAACAAACAAACACACAAACAAACACACAAACAGACAAACAAACAAACAAACAAACAAACAAACAAACAAACAAACAAACAAACAAACAAACAGACAGACAGACAGACAGACAGACAAACAAAACAAACAAACACACAAACAAACACACAAACAGGCAAACAAACAAACAAACAAACAAACAAACAAACAAACAAACAAACAAACAAACAAACAGACAGACAGACAGACAGACAGACAGACAGACAGACAGACAAACAAACAAACAAAACAAAACAAAACAAAACAAAACAAAACAAAACAAACAAACACACAAACAGACAAACAAACAAACAAACAAACAAACAAACAAACAAACAGACAGACAGACAGACAGACAGACAAACAAAACAAAACAAAACAAAACAAAACAAAACAAAACAAAACAAACAAACACACAAACAAACACACAAACACACAAACAGACACAAGCACTCCCACCAGCTTTGGGACTCAAATGGCGCCAGGGCACGAGTCTTCGTCGGTGCCGTTGCAGCTCCTCAGCATAGCTTTCTGTGATCCGGTGTTGCCGCTTGGTCATGTCCAAGGGGTGTTCTTCTTTCTATGTTTTAAATGGGTCTCCCCAAATCCACCCGCCCAAATCTCCATGAACATTTTGTGCATTTGGGGGGTGAATTTGGTGGGACCCCGTTAAAAATCCGTGAAAGCGCAGGCTACGGAAGGAGCTCGTGACGTCTGAAACTTAGCCAATGCTGCCTGCTAGACTAGCGCTGCCAAAAAAATCAAAGCCGAGGACCTAATTCTAGGTCCTCCAGTGGAGAGGTTAGAATAAGGGTACCGTTTCAATTTTTGGTAATCTATTTTAGTAGGGGAACCCTCCCCAAAAAAAGAAACCATAAAAGGGCACTACTGGAAGACCTAGTAATTGGTGCTAGACCGGCACCGTTGCGGTACTATCTAGGCAGCTCTATGTTGGGCATATATCAAGTGAGTGAACCCTTATGGCTGTGGTGCTAAACTTGAGGTTGATAGGATTCCCTTGACCAAACCTCACATACCAAGCACGGGCATGTGCCTTTTTTGAGGGTACCGCCTCTGTGGTCTTTGGGGTACCGCCTCTTGGGAAGCAAAGGCAAATCAGTCCAAGGGAACCCACTGGGCATTTTTAGGGTTCGAACCATGTTCCAAAGGGGCGCCATGTTCCCCGCGTGGATCTTGGCTCTCCCAGGTGAATCGGTGCCACAATAGGGAGACCCCAAAATTGATTCCTCCAACCCATGTCCCATTTTGGGAACATCCCACTCCAAGCGAGTTTAGCGGGAACCACAAAGAGAACCACCCATTTTGGAGGCCCCCCGTTTCCAGACACATCGGCGCGGTGCCCCCAACACCGATTGGACCTTGGTTTCTGCCAACATAGTTTGTCGGCTTTTGCAAGCCTCAAAGCCCCCATGAAAACCAATACTCATGAAACCAGGCAACACCAAAAAAATGACGAGAGAAAAAAAAGAGGGGGGAACCTCCGGCCCGAGAGAAAAACTAAAATCCACCGGCCACGGGCGCCTGAGCAGCATGTTCCTGTCGGCCCAGCTCACTGGCGTGGCGCCCTCAGGTGCAATGCACCTGCGCCGGGAGCACTGAGACCGCCGGTGCGACCGTCGAGACCGAGACCGGCCGAGCTGGACTCGAGTCACATGAAGCGGCAACCAGTTGCGGTTGCCATGCGGGCGATAAATAGTGAAACGGGCAATAGCGCCTAAAATACCAAAACGGTCGGTTCTTCCCAAGGTGGAGAAATTGGGTTGGAGCTTCGGAGGTGGGCTACAAATGATGAGAAATAAATCAAAAAGGGGGATTGAAGTCGAGAAGGTAAGGGCGATAGTAAGTGCCGAAATGATGAGAAAGGGGCTCCGGGTACTCTAAGACCGCTAACATGGTCATGATTGTGGTAAAAGATTAGTATTAATTTGGCTCCATATGGGTCTGAATTTTAATAAGTGAACCTGTGGTGGACATCCGAATCCGGTGGGGATTCATGTCCAATCACTCTTGAGGTGGTTCCATGACCCATGACCTTGCTGGAAAGCTCACTTTCTGGCGCCAAAAAGGCAACCCACAAAGTATCAAGTCCAGGAACTTGGCAAGTGAGTGGGGAAAACAAAGAAGAAGCAAAACAGTTCTCCTTGGCCATTTGGGTTTCACGAAGGGAAACCAGAAATGATGTTTTGCTGACCTGCGGAAATGAAAGAACTTGTCCATCCCCATTTGGTGTCGCTAGAGTCCAAGGCATGTTTAACCTTTGTGCTACAGTATTGAGCACCCAGTTCCATACATGCAAACGCCTTCCAAACTGCTATGAACCATCTGGCCGCCGCGTATTTACCACGGGCATGAGTCTTGGTGGACTTCTAAAACAAGGTCACACCGGAGTCACACCCATGGATTTACCAACCAGGGGTTGGTTCCTCCATGATCCGATTCTCAACCATGAATCATGGTCCGTTCTGAACTGGGCTGTGTGTTTTCTGATCCCCGCCAAAAGTGACGAACTTTGAGTGGGCATGGAAAACCAACCACGAAAGCGACCAAAAGGCTACAAAAGCTGAGGAACCGGATTCTTCAGGTCCTCCAGTAGTTTGAGGTTAGAATCAGGGTACAAACTTTGTTCTGTAGTCTATTTCCGTAGGGGGAATCTCCCAACCAAAAAAGGGGTGAGAAAGGGCACTGCTGGGGCACCTAGGGATGGCTGGGAGCCTCCAAGCTAAGCACTACGAGCTGCTCCTCTCCTTCCTCCCTGAGGCCCTGAGCCAAGGGGCATGCCAGGGCAGGCATCGTTCTGGATCATACCCAGCCTCAAGGAGCGCTCAGGAAAATGAAACACAAGGCAGCTTGTTGTTGTTGTTTGTTTGTTTTTTGCGAGCGCACCCTCCCTCCAACTAACATGGCAACTGACAGGGGCTCCCTTCAAAAGGAAAAATATTCCAGGTACCTCCACACAGGTGCCATGTTAGTTGGAGGAAGGGTAGCCTTTTTCACCTCGCTTGAAAGCGAACCAAAGGAATGCAAGGTTGTTGGATGCAGGCTGGTTGAGTCTGACTCCAGCATTCGATGTCCAGTTGTCCAAACACAACACCCCTGAGGAGAACATCCAAATGCACGACAAGCAAAGAAGATCCCTAGAGCCGTGTTTGGTTGTCCGGGTTTTGAACACCGGTCACACGACTGGCGACACCAACGCCAACATGAGCTTCAACGTCTCTTGGGAGAAGTAGCTAGCGCGAAGCCTGCAACTCACACTTGTGAAGCTCCAATGAAATGACGATGCAGAGTTCACGAGCTTGGCACCCCATGCTTGGTCTTATGCTCGCGTCTAAAAACAACTCAGGCTCCCCCAATGACTCCCCTCCAAACTTGGCCTCACACGCCTGATTGGGCAAATAATCCTAGGTCCTCCAGTAGTTTGAGGTTAGAATAAGGGTACCAACTTTTTTCTGTGGTCTATTTTAGCAGGCGGACCCTCCCAACCAAAAATGGATAGAAGACCACCACTGGGGGACCTAGAATCTGAGTTCGTTCCCAGACCGCAACGGCCCACGAAGACCCGGCCCTTCGTCAAGAGGCGTGTTCACGCTCCAGCGCTGCATCGTCCCAGGCAGAAAGAGCTCGCAGTCCTCAAGCGGTCACCCGGCCATGGGCTTCTCAACATCCAAATCTTACCCCCCGTGAACATCCGATTCAATCCCCACTATAGGTTCTAAAATGGGTGGTGAGTTCACCTGCCCCAAAATGGGATCCCAAAACGGTTTTGACAACCACAGCCACCCCTGACCTGAGGAAAAGAAGAACCACCACCTTGCGGGCTCCCCAAATTTAAAGACGCGTAGCCCTTTTGTGTCCAGCCAACTCTTGAAAGATCTTTCCAATGGGGTACATAGAAAGAGGAATACCGCGTCTTGTGATGATCGCGTCAGCCGGGCTCATGGTCAAAAAACACTCCGAGGGAATGCCCACAAACATAGGTGTCCTTTTTGGGAAAATAGATGTCCTTCGTAGTTGATTGAACCACCCGGTAAACCAGGAATCGCCCTCTATTGTTCAACCAATCAACCAAAAAGGACACCTATGCTCACAAACAGAAGCTAAGAGTTGCTTGCTCAGAGACCGTGAAGCCAGGTTTCAACGCAAAGAAACCCAAACAAGACCGAAGACCCAACCATTTCAAGGGTTGTCCGTTGAAATGAAACCTGAGGTGTAGGGTCATCCAAGATGTCCGCCTTCACCTGGTGAATTATTACTTAATATCTGTATCAAATTATACTAAGAGAATACTACTGGAATGCAGAGGAAATACTTGGGGAATATTAAGGGAATACCGGGGGAGTGCTGAGGGAACTTTAGAGGCAAGAGAATACGAAAGGAAGAGGGAGATGCTAGGGAAATATTGAGGGAAAACTAGGAATTCGCAGTGGAATAGACGGAAATAATAACGGAACACTAAGAGAATACAGAAAGGAAACTAAAGGAATAATACTAGAGAAACGCCAAGAGGAGATTATGGGAAGTCTAGGGGGACTACAAAGGGGAGTGCTCGGAGAATACAGGGGGAATTCTGGGAGAATGATGGGGGTATACCCGGAAAATACAAGGAATACTGGGGCAATATAAGGGGAATACTAGGAGAATACCAGGGAAGTGTTGAGGGAATACTAGGGGTAAGAGAATACTAAAGGAAGAGGGGAATACGAAAGCAATGCTGATTGGATACTAGGGGAGTGTCACGGGAAATCTAGAGACGTACGAAGGATGAATGCTAGCAAAATAGTAGGAGAGTACTGCGAGCATACCCGGAGAATATTAAGGGAATACTAAGGGAAGACTGAGAGAATACTAAGAAATACTAGCAGAATACCGAGGAGATAACAGGGGTCTAAGAGAATGCTAGAGGGCAGGTACTGAGGAAATGCTAGTGGAATATTGAGGGACTTTTGGGGGAACACTGAGGGAATACTAGAGGGTGTGCCAAGAGAATACTAGGGAACACCCACCTTATCACTGATCTGGCCAGGTCAAAACAAGCCTGAGTGCAGCCTGCAACATACTATCCCCCCCCCCCCCCCCCCCACTCTATAAAAAATATGTACCACGGTATGCGTAATTTCGGGCTTACCCTTAGCTCACCCGAGTGCTCGGGCCCGAAACAAGGTCAAACTCTTTGGGCCTTGACTCGAATGACAAAGAGCCTGGCCAACGCAAAGTTCGAGGCTCGCCAGCCAGGCCATGGACCAAACTTGTGGTTCTGGTTTAGGAAGCCCTGGCAGATAATTCGAAAAAAGGTCCTTCGAAAAAAGTCCTTCGAAAAAGGTCCTTCGAAAAAGGTCCTTCCAAGCCCTGCCTGTGGTTTAGGAAGCCCTTCAAAAAAACAAAAACGTCCTGGCAGATAATTCGAAGGAACCCCTAAGGTTTTTCCAAGCCCTTCTAAACTGGGCTGTCCGTTTTCAGATCCCCTAGAAGTGACTAACTTTTAGTGGGCTAGATTCGGAAAACCAACCACTAAACCCTCAAAAAAGGCTAAGAGAGCTGAGGGACCGGATGGCTGGGAGCCACCAAGTAAAAGGAAACCCCTCTAAAAAGGACAAACCACTGGAGGTCGGCACAGCCTCACCTGCTTCCCCTGGCCTGCGTCTCCAGGACCGCGTTCTCATCACAGCTCGCAGCGCCCAAGCAGCGCCCGGTCACGGACTGACGGATGAAGCCGCTCCTGAGACGTTTTGATCAGCTTTTTGTTGCCAGATCCAGTTTCTTGAACGAATCAAATCCAGTTTCTTGGAGAGTGGGAACCGCCTCCCCCATCTTGAGCCAAGACCCTTATTGCCGGAGAGACCCTTACACTCCCTCAGACTAACATGGAAGCTCCCAGGACTTTGGAAGACTTGGCTCCATTCACAGTGGCCCTCTGGGAGCTTCCATGTTAGTCTGAGGGAGTGTAAGATCTTGCCAAAAATGCACGACTCCTTGAGCTAGTCTGGCCCGAGCATCATAAGCCATCATTTCTGATGCTGGTTTCTCTGAAGCTGTGAATCTTTGGCATTCACTTGAGGGCCCAATGAGGAACATATTCTTGAAGCCAGCTGCCCGTGGCAAAGGTACAAACTTCCGTCAGCCGGGGGCTCCCCATATGCGCCCCCGAAAACATCACCCCACCAAAAGAAAGCACCCACACTTGGTCCAAACAGTGATATTTAAAAAACCAAAAACGGAAGGACCCTTGCCCACTCTGCCTTTTTTTGAACCGCTTCCTTTCCCTTAGGCGAGGGTCCACCAAGCCATTCTTGGTTGACGTTGGAAGGGGAGCAAAAGTTTAAATACTTTAGCAGTTAAGTGGTTGGATTTCAACCACCAAACCACCACAAGCAAAAATGTAAAATGCTTCCCAGCAACAACCATGCATTCACCCACCCACCCACCAATCAGCCCTCGCCGCGCCTGGGCGTCACCGTCTGCGTGCCGAAGCTTGTGGTGGTGGAGGTGGTCTGGGCCGTGGTGGTCTGGGTCACCGTGGTGGCCGTGGTGGAGGTGCTCTCGCACCAGATCTGGCACCGATGACTAGAGACTCAGCTTCGCGGAAAGCCAAAAAAACGTGGAGATGATAAGGCGATGTTGTTGTTGGTTTCTCGATCTGTCTTCATGTGCTTCTTTTGGTTGGCGGTGGTTTCAGTTTCTGGTGCTAATTGTGGCTGTTTGCTTGTTGCTTGCTTTATTAGTGCTTGACTAGTGTCGTTGGAACATCCTCATGTAGTTCCCTTAGCATGCATTGTTTTCCCAAACACATTTGTTTGACTCATGTCGGTTTCTCTGAAACACGGACTTCTACATCGCTTGCAAGCGTCAAAATCAGGAGCCCAAAAATGGGGAGAGGGGGGGGGGGGGGTTTCTCTTTGCTCCTTAAGTCAACCTGAGAAAGGTGAAAGCGCAGACTTTGTTTTCAACATTTACTTGTGGCCCGCGGGAAAGAGTTCGATGGTGTTCGTACCTTTGACCTCCAGGGTCCCCGAGTGCTTTCTATGCCTCAAGTGGCATTGGATTGGCGAGTCCACCAGGTCCCCCAAGATACACATACCAGCAATTGTCCGCTCACTTCGTCGATAAAACGTGACATATAGCACTCGAAACCTGCAAGGCGGGGGTCTGCCGGTCTGCCAAAAAGCCTAGCATGGGAACGGATCAGAAGCAAAGGAGTCTCTTCGACCAAGCCGGCCTTTTGGGCCCAGACACCGGGAGGTATGCAGGTCATGGAGCAGCTTTGGGCCTCGGGCCTGATATTTTATAATAAAAAAAAGCGGAGAAAAGGGGGAGGGGAGGTCTGCGTGTAGCGCTTGCGACTGCGACTTCCATTCCGGTCCCTGCTCGGACCGGTCCCAGCAGACCGGGCCCCGGGCATAGGTGGCCTTTTGGAAAAATGGATGGGTTTCCCTGGTAAATGGGGCATAAACCCCATCTAAGCCAGGAATCGCCCTCTATTTTTTGAGCCAATCAAAAGGGACACCTATGGCCCCGGGCCTTGGCATCTTCCGTGTGCCAGCAATTGTTGATGCCCCAGCCCGCGTTTCCGCAGAGGCTCAGGAAGCCCTCGTCGCCTCAAGGCCAAGGCAAGCCGACCGAGCGCCGCGCGGCTTGCGGGGGCGGACAAGTCGACGCGACTTGCTTGGCGCTTGGCTGCAGCTGCGGCGGCTCCTTCCTTTTGGGGTCGCCATGAGGAGTTTGACGAACTTTCAGTGGGCGAAATTCGGAAAACCGACCACTAAACCCTCAAAAAAGGATCTGAGAGCTGAGGGACCGGATGGCTGGGAGCCACCAAGTAAATACCCCCCCTGTTCACCTCACAAGTTGGGCGGTCGATTTGTTGGCCGCGGCTCACTTTTGGCGCGAAAAAGATGACCTTGATCACCGGCTGGTTTTTTCCACTCTGTGACTTTTAGGTCAATGTGACTTGGCTATCCTCTCTTGTTGCTTTTCATCCAAGAACCGAAGCCCGACATGGGAGAGTGCCGATTAAAACTTGGCGCAAAAAACAAATCCTGCCAGCCCACATTTCAGGACGTGTGAACCCAACTTGGTTCTGTTTAGTAGACACCTTCAAAAAGTGGCCGGTGAATAACCGGCCGGAAAGAACGGAATCCGCAAAAGCAAGGACGCTTGGAAGCTTCATGGCTGAAGCCCAGGTGAGCTCGCTTTAACTGGATGTAAATATGGTGTTCAAAGCCCAAAAATATCATGGAAACTGTTGGGAGTCTTGCTTTCCCTCCCCCCCCCCACACCCCACCCCATGTACAAATATGGCAAATGGTTGGAGGTTGCAATCAAAACCGCAAAGGCTTCGTGGGTTGGATGTGGTTGGTTTACTTTGCTGTTTTTCCTCTGGGAATCGGCAGGAGGGGGGGGCGCGAGGTCGCGCGAGGTCGCCTGTGCAGTCCACGTCATCGATCCAAATGGTCTGATCTTCTGAGCCGCCGGTGCCTGCCTGCAGGATGTGCATGGTGCCATGGTCAAAGGTAGCACCCCCAATCTGGCCTCATGTTTTTACCATGATCAAAGTCACCCCCTAAGTGGTGGGATAAAGGGAAACCCCATTTTCTGATTTTGATAAACCCCCGGTCGTCTGTTGCCCTGGTCCGTTTGAGACAACCCAGGAACATCTTGCAAATTGTGGGCTGTCCTCAGATCCCCTTGCTAAAGGTTTGACTTTTAGCAGGTTAGATGGAAACTGCCACTAAACCAACCCAAAAAAAAGCTAGCTAAGGAACCGGATGGCTTTTAGAACCACCAAGCAAAGACATAAAAGTGCCATGGCTGTGGCCATCAACGTTAGGCCACCCACAGGACCCCCATTGACCACGGCACAAGGATGAGCCCCAAACACAAGTTGGAGGGGTCCGGGCACTTGGCTTGCCCCGTCCAAGAGGATTTTGAGACACATCCTGGGCAAACCAAGCGGGGCGGAACAGGAAACCCAGCAGCTTTCCTTGGCATTTGGCAAATGATGCTTGGAAATGTTCACGCCTCCCTGCTTGCGTACGACATGAGTGGGACGGGTTGTGGTTGAACCCAAGGTTAGGTGGACTGTCTTGCCATACGCAGGCGCGGCAAGATCTGCACTGTTGTGGACACTCCTTTGATACAGCGGATGCCTATTGCAAGTGGAGAACAAGCGAAACCTGGCCATAATGTCCAGCGTGTGGTGGGAAACAATCTCACGTTTCCCCAAGGTGCTAGGCGCTTTGGTTCGACGTGGTTGGTCCTGCAGCACGTAGACAGCCATCACACCCCCCCCTGGGGGGGGGGGTTGGGAAACCAAAACGAGACCAATCGTTCTTGGTGATCGTCCAAATTTTCATGTTCGAATGTGCTTTCGGGGAGCCAAGAGGAAAATTATCGAAAAACCGCAGAGAGTCCATATTTTGGAAGCCCAGCCCCCCCTCCCTCTATGCTTGGTTCAAGAGCTCAAATTGAAACCCCCAAACCCCGGCACTCACGGAGGGACGGACCTCTCAGGGGAGCCCCAGAAAAAAATGGAAGGCCGATGGAAGGGGAACTCAACCCTCTCACGGCCTCTGCTGAGCTGTCGAAGCGCGCATAGGTGCCTGGCAGATACGCGAGGAATGGCCCGGCTTGCTGTTGGCTTCCACGACCCCATCCAAAAGGGGGAAACACTACCCACACCCAGACCAGCAGCATATGCGCGTGCGTGCGTCCAAAAATCCACGAACTTCTTTGGGGAAAAGGAGCCGGAAAAAAAATCGGCCGTTTCGGGGCAGCCCACGTGATCCGAAGTAGTAAATGTCACTAAATGAAATCAATTGTTCAGTGAAACATGTGGGTTTGTTTAGAGAAAAATGGCTACTTATGTGATTCTTAATGAACTTCAGTGAATTGCACTTTCACACTTACATTCCCAACGAAATGTCAACATCCTCGTTCAATGTGCCAAACATAAAGTGTTAATCCATTTAATTAACCCCCCTCCTAGCAGAAATGGAGGGGTCTCAGCATCTCTCCTGCAAACAACGGTTTAAATGGTTTAACGTGTCTGGGTGTTTCTCCTGAAAAAGAGGTTTCGATGGCTCAAGTTGTTTGTACATTGACATCAAGAGATAGTGTCACAAGGCAGCAAAGCGTGCATTCCTGGGGGGCGATACCACTCATGTGTATATAAATAATGTTACATTTATGGTTATCATGTTTTGTATATATATATATATGTATGTATACACGCTGCGCATGTATGTATTTACCCGCAGCATGCATGGTTCAGCGTCCTCATTTCGAAGTGCGTTGAACGCAAGGTTCTATTGGGAATTGGCGGCATGTGTCATACTGTGTCCGCTTTTATCTTGCCATACCCGTGTTTTTGTCCCTACCATTTCGCTTTGAGATCTGACCCAGAGGTGACCATTGCGTTCACGCTCTCTCAGGGAATGCAGCTACGATAGTCTTGCCGTGTAACTGATATTCATACGGACGGCCTTGGCGAGAACTTACAGGAAGCTTCAGCAGTCCTGGTAATTTTGACGCTGACGCCCGGATGTGGCGAGCAGCTGCATTTGGCAAGCAGCGGGATAGAGGACTTGGAGGCCTTCTTGATGGTTGGAACACGCACGCAGGCTTACAATTGGGGAAAACGTGCCGAAACGCAGGAAACGCGAGGATGAAGCTGATCTTCAAAACATGCACTGCGCCCATGCCTTGCAAATGGTGAGCACACCTGCCCACATGCGCCCGCTCAGCACTGTATCCATGCCCGGCAAATGGTGAGCACACCCGCCCACGTGCACACGCTCAGCACTTGCAAATGGAAAGCACGCCCGCTCACGTGCACCCACTCATCACTGCACCCTTGCCCGGCAAATGGTAAGCACACACGCCCACGCGCGCCTGCTCATCACTGCACCCATGCCCGGCAAATGGTAAGCACACCCGCCCACGCGCGCCCGCTCAGCACTGCACCCATGCCTGGCACATGGTAAGCACACCCGCCCACGCGAAGCTCGGCGCTGGAGCCACCCCTGGCAATTTGTTCCTGCACCACACTGACCCCAAATTCCATTGAGCTTTGGGGGAAACATTGTCAATGACCCCACGGGCTCATGGCCCTGCACTTCACTTGCCGCCCCCAAAGGTGGAGGATTCCCTGTAATCGAGTAGGAGTGATTTATTCTGGGTTCCCACTAACTCTGCTCCATAAGGATCCAGCTACGCGCTATTCACATAGCCTCCTCCAGGCTCCCTGTGCTAGGAACTGCCGGCGATCGTGTGTAAAAAAGGAATCTGTGTGTTTGCGTGGATGAAGACCGCGCGCACCCACGCGCGTGCGAGGAGTGCCCCCTAGTGCCCGGCCTTCAATCTCGAAGGACAAACAAAAGCATCCCCACACCCCAAAAACAGCCCCTGGACCCCAAAACAGCACCTGCACCAGCACCCGAACTGCATGCCCCCGAGCAGCCAGCGACAATCTCGCACATCGCTGTCCCCTCTTTGTTAGAAGTTAGAACCCCCATAGCTTTCACCTGGAACTTCCAGCACGCAACCCTTGAGCTCCAGCGGCCCGCCTGTCAAGCCCAGCTCCCGGCAGACCACGGTAGCTTCCACGTCGTCAAAGCCGTCAGAGCAGACCTGCACTTCGAAAGTGATCCGAGGATTCTCGGATTCTCAGATGCCCAGTGGCCATGGGAAACAAAGGGCATCCGATTTTTTTGAGAAAAAAAGGCATCCGTTTTGTCTGGTTTTGGTTCACTTTCAAGGGGAAAAAAGGATAAACAAGTACCACTGGGCAACTGGGGGATGCAAGTGGAAACCGCCAGAAGCAACCATTCTCCGCCACAGGTGAGGAAAAACTACACCAGAACAAGGAGCTACCCTGAAGAAAATGGGAAAATGCAACCGTATGCGGTATCTTCCAATTGGGCGTAGCTTGAGGGCCCAGCTACATGCACAACAGAGAAACATGCGTCACTACGCGCCAGGTCATTCTAATCCCTTGAGACCCACCCTGCATACATGTCTGAAGGTCAAATCAGGCCAATTCGGCCCAAACTCGCCGGTCCCCGGTTGTACCAGGTCCGCTCGACTTTCCATGCGCCATGAGAACAGCACAGGAAAACGCGAGATGAGAAAGACGAAAAGAACGGGTCACCGCAGGCCTTTGAAGTCTGCAAGTTGATGCGGCCATCGCTCTCCGCAGGCTCAAGTTTGCAGATCAAAACACCCACAGCCCCCGCTTTGTGGCCCAGTGGCGGTTCCCCAGTGGCCATCGTAGAGAACCTCCACTCGGCCCACCACGAAGCCATCCTGGCCGCGAGGCTCGTGCATGTGGCCCTACTTTATGTGGTGCTAGGGGCCCACTCCTACACAAAATCGCGAACACGAAAAAGAAGAAGCAAAAGAAAGGAAAAACATGCTCAGGTGATATCCCCAACAGCATGCCGTGCTCTTCCGCAGAACCTCGTGGAACCCTGGTGGAACCCTGGTGAAACCCTCGTGGAACCTTACCTCAGGGCTGCCCCGGACCACCCCGGAGCCTACCTGGGCTGAGACCCCAAAGCTTTCAGCTGTTGGGGGAAAAACAAAACGGATGGTCAAGACATCCTGAGGGGTTCTAACCAACCTGAGCCTGATCGCAGCCAGTTCCTGAGCATGCCGCTCCAAAATGGGATTCGTGGATTCATTGACCCACGGGCGAGCATGTGCCGACCTGAGGATATACTAGACAAGACCCCGACTTGTTTCTAGGACGAAGCCCATCACTCAGGGGAACCCAAGCCTTCCTTCTTAGTCTGTTTGGGCCTTGAAAACTAAGCTGAAGCTCGGGAAATGGCATTCTGGGAAATAGCTTGCTGGCGCGATAGGTCGGGAATGACCCTTCCGGCTCTGTCACTCGATTTCTCGCTCCAAAAAAAAACATAGGAAACCAGTGTCTCGGTACTTACAGGGGGCTCATATCATTCCCCCTGGGTTTCTTTGGGTTTTGCGACTCGGGGGACTTCGGCCAGCCGCAAGAGGATACACCCTCGACTTGCGACTCGGCGGCATCCTGCGGCAGGGGGTCGCCCACGTTGAAGATGTCGCCTGGCGATGTCGGTTCTTCTTTCGGCGACTTCCTCCAGTTGCGTCTTGGTCCAGTCCTCTCGTTTGAGTCTTCCTTCATGTTCCCTCTCCTGTGTCGGTCTCCTTGAGGCAACAAAGGAGGTGTCCTTTCGTTATTCAGGTTGACACGCAGTTGAACCATTTCGGTATCCCTTTCCACCCAAAAAAGACCCTGCACCTCTCTCTGAAATAGGCCCCATGAGAAAGATCGCTCCAGCTTTAAGCATCCAGCTTTGAGGCGAATCGACGACTCTCAAATCCCACATCTCCCTTTGACCTTGAAAAAGGATCCCGGAATCAAAAAAATAATCGGAAAAAACATGCTACGGATGGAGAAAGACAATAAAAGACACCGAGGTGTCTGTCAACTGGTCACATGGGGAAAGTCAACCACTAAACCAAGTAAAAGAGATCCAAACAGCCAAAAAAAAAAACGGACGGCTGAACCACCAAGTGTCCATTGGAACCGTTTGCCAAATGGCTGGCCATGGCTCAAAATCCCGTACCATCCCAATCCCCACTATCTAAAATGGGTGGTGAACTCACCTCCCCAAAATTGTATTTTGCCCAAAATGGTACCAAAACAGGCTCGACCCCAAGATGGTACCAAAACGGTGTTGACCCACAGCCAAATCCCATGTGAAACCCCCCCCTCAAAAAAAAAAAAAACACGCCAAAGCGCCTGATGGCTGCACCAGCCGCACCGGCGGCGGCGGCAGCGTGGTGGTGCTTGTCGAGGTGCTCGTCATGGTGCTCGTGGTGTTGGCCTCATCAACCCCGGGGCTCGACGCGGCGCAAAGGCCCAAAGGACGTCCTCTTTTGGTGCCGCCCCGGTGGTTTCTTCGGGTTTTGTTGGGGAAGCCAAAGAGAAAACCAGGGGTTTGGAGGTGCCATTTGGTCTGTGTGTGTGCGTGTGTCTCAAAATAGGCGACCCTTTTTGGATGGTTTTGGGAAACCAAAAGGAAACCACCTGGAAGGGTCTGCAATTTTGAGAAACACTCACTGTCTGTTTTTAGGCCCCCCCCCCAACAAAAAAAAGTTCCCTCTTTGTTTCCCTTGAAAACCACCACAAAGGGAAACCCTCAAAAATGATGGATTTATATCAAAAAGGGGATATATAAGAGAAACCCACCTTGCTGAAATGGGGCTGTTGTTCAAGAAGCCATCCGCTTTGGAGTGGTGCTTGGTGTCTGGCTTTCCGCTGAACACGAGTCACCCTCTGTTGAAAAGGCCTGTCCACTTCCTGCTTGTTGGAGTACGAGCTACATTGTGGATTGGATCTATTGCTCAGAGCATCCTTTTTAGGACAGGCTTATTTGCATTGTGGGGAAACCCAATAAAATTGCGAGGGGGGGATGGCAGGTTGATTTGCGTTTTGTGAAGTGGATGGTTCCACCTGCTTCCCTGAAAAACCTCAGAAAAAATATACATAAAACAGATAATGTTAAGACGGACCCTTGTGGCAATGCCCAAAGCCCTGGTTGGAACGTGGCAATGCATGATGTTTGATCGACGGGGTTCCTCGTGGCAATGTGGACACGAATCCCCACCAAGGTCTGATGTCCACCCCAGGGTCCAATCCAGAACTAAAAATAATCACGTAGGTGTCTATTCTTTTGGCTGACCCCGGAATTTGGGGCTTTCCTTTTGCCTCTCGATTAAACCCCCCCCCCGAACAAAAAAGGGGGGGGGGACCAATTTACGAATCCCCAACGTGGGTATTCAAGCTTTAAGGGACGGCAGCATCCAAACCAGCAAAATTGGGACATCCGACACGGAAGTTGTCACGTTCTGATGTGTCTGCTTCATATTTGGCTTACCCTAGACTAGCTCCTCCAGTAGAGAGGATAGAACAAGCGTACCCGATCTTTTTTCTGCAGTCTATTTTAGTAGGGGAACCCTCCCAACCAAAAAAGGAACGGCAAAAGGGCACCTAGCCTAGCTGGAGGACCTAGCCAATGGCATGGTTCCGGGAGCTCGGGGGAGCTCTCCGAGGCCGAGGCAATGCCAGTGTCATCCGTGCAGCCCAAGAGGCCTCAGATGCCAACCACGTCGGAGCTTCCCCGAAATGAGAAATTCACAGCGCGTTGCAAGTGAGACAAGAAATTGTCCACCACCAGCGCATTCCACCAAAAAGATCTGCGAGTCACACACGCACACACACCGAAGGAAAAAAAATAAAAATCTGCGTGGCTGTCTCTACCAAAAACCGGCTCCCAAGAGCGACATGACGTGATTTGAAACGGCTTCCGCCGCAGGACTGACCTCGGCGCTGCTGACGCCCGCCGAGCCGAGCGGCAGTCCTCCTGACATGTCGTGTTGACGTCCGCGACGGGGCCACTCACAGCGGCATCGGAGTCCCTCAGTGGAGCCAAGTAGCCAACTGGTCGCAGCCATCCAGCCACGGATCAAGCTATCCACATGGGAGTGGGGCAAAAATAGAGTAACCCCAAAATACTACCCTGGTAAATGGAACTATGGACTAAATCCGCTGTCCCCTGGGTTGTTTCATTTTGACCCACACATGCACATGGAGAACAAAAACTCAGCAGCTGAAAAGCAAAACTCAGAAATGGGGCCCAGCTCCAGTCGCCTGTATTCATGTCATGAGCCAAGTTAGCTTCTCAGCCAGCCAGTAACTGGGACCAGGGAGATGACGATCGCCATCTTTCTCCGCTCGAGTCGATGGACATGTCAAAATTAGGAACCCTGTGTGTAAAATGGCTTGCTTTTCTGGCAAATCTAGGGAGCCTAACCTTTGGGGAGGGTATGGTAGACACTTGGACCCTTTGGTCCAGGCACTTGGTGTTTGAGGGGTTGAATCTTCCAAATAGCCTCCGGTTGGGTGACCTGTTGAACGGATTCTAGCTAATGTGTTCCTGGTTCGTTGGTTCGTTGGTTCGTTGGTTCGTTGGTTTGTTGGTTCACCAGAAGCAACAAAAGCCACAAGGGCTGACCTACGCCACTTTTGGCTGGCCAAGGGAAAACCCGAACCAACGAACCGACGAACCAACGAACCGACGAACCAACGAACCAACGAACCAACGAACCAACGAACCAACGAACCAACGAACCAACGAACCAACGAACCAACCCACCTCCCCACCCACTACCTACCTACAAAGATTACCCACCCACCAACCAACCAAACCACCCACCCACCCTACCTGACCGGACCTCCATTCCCAAGGACCCAAAAGCCGCAGGTCCCTCGACCTCGAGCCCGAGCCGCTCGACCCCGCAGAAGGCGGAGCAGTTCGCCGCGCAGTCGGCGTCCACCGCGGACAAGCGACGTGCCCTGAGCCCAGGGCGCACAGTGGGGGGGGGTGGGGGAGGGTGGGGGGGAGGGTGGGGGGGGGGGGTAGGTGGGGATTGAAAGGAAAGGGGGCTTCTCAAAATGGCTTGTGACCCCCTCTACAGGAGGGATTTAAAGGAGCACCCACAGGAAAACCGAATCCATTTTGCAGTTGAGAACCAAGAGGAAACCCTGCTCGTTTGCGCGTTGGGGGGCTTCCCTTGCCATTTTACCATCTTGAGAACCCCCCCCCGCCTCCCCACCGAAACGAACTGCCTCCAGTTGGTTTTTCAAGGTCTCTGCCAGGGTGGCTTTCCTCAAACGGTTGTTTCCCCTTGTTTGGCGGTTTCAGAAGGCAACCAAAAGGCAAACCGAAACCATTTTGGGGGTCCCCTAAAACTACAGTACAAACCCAAACAAATGGGTGTGTGTTGTGTGGGTGTGTGTTTGTGTGTGATCCAACTAGCAGCTACTCAAGTGTAGCTGTTTTTTTTCGACCCGCTTGGCACAGAAGTAAAATCTGAACGCTTTCGCATAGAGTTTTGGATGGTGCCCTCCCCCTATTTCAAGTTAGGGCAACCCCAAGACGGCTGGGTCTCCCTTTCTCCACCAACGGGTCCGCCGGCTTGAAAACCCCCCGCCTCCGCACTAGAAACATCACCCACCGCCAAGGGATATCTCACCCACGGGCCGAAAAAAAGTGATGCTTGAAAACTGCTGAAAAAGTGAAGAGAAATCTCAAAATCACAACCTCGGCCAGGTAGTATATACCATTGTTTTGATCAGGCCTTATCTTCGCCTGGGTATCTGTGGGTCACAGTCATGCGATCCGGGGCAGGTGGGGTATGATGATGCTTGATTGGTACCTTCTAGTCATCAAATAAAATACCATGGGGGTCCGCCAACGATTTTGGAAAGGGAAACTCCCCAGTACTTCCTGGTGGTCAATGAATTTACAGGCGACTTGAGAAGGAACCCTGGGAAACCACCCAGCTTTGCACCAGCAGAATTGAGATGTGGACCCTCCTGAGAGAGCTGTCACCGTCTCAAGGAAGACCAGGGCTTGCGGCTCTTTAGAAAACCCCCTTTTGGGTCGAAAGGGGAAGCCAAACGAAACATCATCCTTTTTGGAGTCCCTACTTTGACACATACCCATCTGAACAAAATCATGTGGGGAGGCGCATGATACCCGTAAGCTTCCCATGCCATCAGAATGTCTCAACAGCTCATGCCAAAGCAATTCGATCACTTGCCCAAAAGACCTAGGAGAAACGTAGAAAACGGACTAAGCCTTTTGGCAATTTGGGGAAGTGACTTGACCCCAGGTTGCGCAAATTTTGCGAATCCTCTCAAACCCTCCATCCCACAAAAGTGGAAGCCGCCTGGCAATCAACTCTTCCTGAAGTTGTCGGGTGCCGTCGCTCTCCTGAGTCAGGGCTCGCGATTGGCTTCCTGCCCTCGGAAAAGAGGGGGGAAAACGCCGCCCCACCAAACTGACCCCCAAATGGAGGGTTTTCCTTGTGGTTTCCCTCACCAAAACCTCTGAAAAGAGACTCATGTTCAAATCCAAGGGAAACCACGTGCCCCGGATGCTTTGGGAGATCGGATGCCCGCTGAAGCATTACCCAACTGAGAACCCATCTGAGAGAAGCTCTGGCAGGTGACATGAAAGTTTGCCTTGGACCCGTCCGCCCCAAAACACGAACCGTCACAATGTGGGCCAGACCGGTTTCGTGTTGATCCAAGCCGTCACCGTGGGGGACCCGTTGAATGGATTGTATCACATTTCCCTGACAGGCCCCCTTTGGTGTGTTTGCTCAAAAAAGTCAACAGAACCCGTCTTTTAAAAAAAGAAGAGCTGCGTACAACGTTCCCCCGCCTCACCAAAAAAAAAAAAAAGAAGGAGGCCCGGCCACAACGTGTCTGGGGCCCCGGTTTGTTTGCCATTTGAGTCATACTCAAACCCGGAATTCAAGAATAGTCAATCCCCGAAAACCATGTAGAGAATCGAAAGAAGGGCGGAATTCCCGCACCCATCTTATGGGAAGGCTTTGGATTGTCCCTTCCCTTCCAACTACCCCCTACTCAAAGTACCCGTTTTATTCATGGTATTCTTGGGAAAGCCTAGTTTTCCATGGTAAATACCCCTTTTTACTAGAGGGTCGACATGATACCCGTAAAAAATATCTGGTATTTGGAGCTGGGGGTACCCGTTGGCCTTCCTTCGCCCTGTCCTCGGTGCTGACCTCCACCCAGCCGGCGCGCTGCATGCTTCCTGAGGGACACGCCGAATGACGCGCCGAGCAAAGCGAAGGGACGCGAGGGTCGCCGAAAAGCAGTTGTTCTGCTGTGCATGTGTTTTTGTTGGGTGGGCATGGCGTTTTTTCCCCCCCTTTTTTTTTCGGTGGACACCGAAGAACTCAAAGATTGAAACTCCACACTTGCTGCGCGAATCAAAACATATAAGAGCGAAAAAGCTTGCTTGGTCCGAAAGGAGGTTCCAAGCCAAAACCTCAACCCCCAATCAATCTCCCAAGTCATGCGGCAATGCTAGGCCCAGAATGATATCCGTTTGCCCCACGCTGTTGGCATGTTTTAGGGGGCTTCCCTCGCAGGTGAAGAAGGCGTTGTCTTCTTCCGTTGGAACTTCGAGGATAGAATCCTGTACTACTGGGCTTTGGAAAGCCGAAGCGACGCCGAGACGAATTCAGTTGTGGGGACCTTGTGCATGTTTTCTGTTCTTTAGCAGGTGAGTGTGAATCTTAATAGGGGACCCATCAGCTAGGTGGAGATTCATGTAAACCAACCATATTGGAGGTGGTTCCAAACTGAAGTTCATCGCCCAAGCAACCCAAAAGGAAACCAACGAGTCATGCACCTGGGTCCAGTTCCCACGTTGGGTTGGGCAAACGTTCTAGTTCTTTCCATTCGGGTGATTGCAACTTGCAACCCTCTGAAGAGCGGTGTCCAATGTCTCCCCAACGCCAATCTTCCAGGCGAGTTGCCTAAAATCCATAGCATTTGAACCTATATATGGCTATGGGTCAAAACTAACCGCCAAAAAACACGCAGGTGTTGGTCCTTGTTTCCATGTACCCGGATTGCATTTGGGGTACCTATGTTTGACCCTCGCCCATATGGCCACGTCGGACGCCTCTCGACGGCGTCCGCCATTCTTCTTGGACCAAACCAAGGGTTCATACCAGGCAGTCATACCATCAGACCCAGGAGTTGGGTGTGCCCTGTTTTGAGTTGGACCCTGATTGTGATAAGGAAAACCACCCATGTTGTGTCTGCCTGGAGTCTCCATGATCCTTTCAAGGAAAAAAAGGTCATGACCCCTTTGTCTTGGGTAATGGCCCCCATTTCTACAGGTTCTCCCCCTTCCTTTTGGGTAATGACCGCCAATTTTTACGGGTCATGGAGACTCCAGGTTCTCCTAAACACCGAGCCAGGCTTCGCCCGAAAAAGAAACGCCGCCAAGGGGCCCAGTCGGTACTCCTGGCGGTAGCCCCGGCGCCGCGAGCCGCCGACGAAGGTGTTGGAGAACGTGCCTAAGGAGTCGTCCAATCAGACGTGGGGGCGCAACCATAGGTGTCCTTTTGGAAAAGTAGCAGGGGTGGTTTAGTTGAATTTCGAACCAAGGGAATTGAACCTATTTTCAGCCAAACCAACCTAAGCACACCTATGCAACATGCGGAGCGAGTACGAGGAGACCCCAAAATGGAACAGCCTCGAAGCCAGAAACCTCGCTCGAGGCGCTCCATTTGCGACTTGGAAAGTCTACCGTGTAATCCAAGCAGGGAGCCCTGGTTTTGTGGTGACCTTAGGGCTGAAGTTTGGGGGGGGGGAGTCTTTCAACACGAACCGGGCGATAAAGCTGATGGTGTTCTCATCCACGGTCTCCCATCGGGATTGATGAAATGCGGTATACACCACGTACCAACTGCAGGACTTTGTCCATCCAGTTGCAAGGTCTACCAGCCAAATTGGCAAGCGTGTCCGGTTGGTTTCAACCAAATGGCCAGTGTGTCCCCCCAAAAGGCAAAGCCAGGCTGGTGGTGGCTCTCTTCTGGTCTTTCTGTCCAAGAACAGAATTTTGCAACCCAAAAAGACAAGGGTAGAAATTGGTTGAAACTGAGTCCTTTGGTTTTCCTTGTAACACATTTCTTTTGGCTTAGTCTTTGGAGCAACCCTAGGGGTCAAACGGCCGCTGGAGCCATGCTCTTTGGGGGATAAGGGATTACCTCAAAACATGCCGAGATGAGCCACAGTGGACCTCGGCTTCCAGTTGGTCTCCCCCTAAATCCAGAAACGAGCGCAAATCCTTAAAGCCGGTGAGAAGGAGCTCGAACAGATCTGGCCATGGTGCTCTTTCCCTTCTTTGCTTGACCATGTGAACATGGGTTCAGATAACGGACGTGGAGGGATGCCGGAATTCGCATCCTTTGGTATCCCCTGTAGGCGGCACAAGGCGGCGCTAGATTCCAAAAAAGGAAACACGGGCAATCTTTTTGACAGCCCATGTGGGCATTACCGCAGCTTCTTGAATGGTCCAGAAAAGCCACGCTGAGAGTGTCAGCCCCAAACGAGAAATGGCTGGGTACTGAAACTGAACGATTCATTTTGCCATTGGGCGTCCAAAAAGCGACTTACTGTTCCTTCTACCATGCTCCACAAATCACTCAAGCTGTTCTAAGACCGCTCTCCATTAAACCAGGAAGTAGAACCTGGTTTTGGGCGCTCAATTCCCCGCCCCGCTCTGACCCTCAGCCTCTCAGCCCCTCAGCCCCTCTGCCCCTCTGCCCCTCTGCCCCTTTGCCCCTGCCGCGCTGCTGACGCTGCTTCCGAATGGATCCGCGGGAAAGAAAAACCGCATCCTGTCAAGCAGGCTCCACCGTGTGTGTCATTTTTTCGAGGTACCCTTTTTGGGTTGGTTGGAAATGTTTTGTTTAAAAGGCGACCAACTGCAAGCTGCCCATTTTGAGGGCTGCCTATTTCAAGCGGACTCAACTGCAAACCTCAATCACGAAAGACCTCTGCGATCATTTGACAGCCCGCATGGAAGGGATGAATGCATTGCACGAAGAGAATCTCCCGGGCTGTGCATGACTCTCCAACCTCAAGCAGGGTAAACAGTTCCTGCAAAATGGACCTCTCTCTTGGATGGCACTGTTTGCCTTCGCATTGGACTTGTTTGAAAGCCATACTGTCCATGCTAGCCACTGTAAGGCAATCCGAAGGTCAACCATTTGCAAGGCTTCCCAGTTTTCAGACCTCGTCTCCTTGCGTCAGAAGGCTCGCAAGTTTGCATGGCCATGTTGCTTATTGATGTCTTCAAAGCGTGTCCAGCTTGGAATCCCTTTTCAAATGGCCCATAAAAAGAGAAACCAACCGAACACCTTGAGCCCCCCAGTCCCGACTCAAGGTCAGTCCCCGAGCCTCTCTTCCTCCGTCCAGTCGTAGACTTCCTTGCACCTCGGCGCACACGCGACTGGAAAGACCAAAAATGCTCTCAAATCCAACCTGCACAGAAGGGGCACCCTGTTCTTCCAACCGCAAACCTGTTGTTCGACCTCTACTTGTACTTTTAGGTTTATGGGCCCAAAAAAGACTGGTTGGGGGCGTCAAAAAACGACACGGTCCCCAAGCAAACCAGATCGCACCTGGCGCCTGAAAGAGGCGACGATCGCTCTCTCCCGCCCACCAAACGGCTCGCCGTGCCGGGATCCAACAAGAATTGCCGAGAGACATCAAGGGAAACTCATGGGCCAAGGTGAGGTGTAAAACCACAAAAGGGAAAACACACACACACACACACACACAACACACACACGCGCACCCACACACCCACACACCCACACACCCACACACCCACACACCCACACACCCACACACACACACACACCCACACACCCACACACCCACACACCCACACACCCACACACCCACACACCCACACACCCACACACCCACACACCCACACACCCACACACACACCCACACACCCACACACCCACACACCCACACACCCACACACCCACACACCCACACACCCACACACACACCCACACACCCACACACCCACACACCCACACACCCACACACCCACACACCCACACACCCACACACCCACACACCCACACACCCACACACCCACACACCCACACACCCACACACCCACACACCCACACACCCACACACACACACCCACACACACACACACACACACACACACACACACACACACACACACACACACACACACACACACACACACACACACACACACACACACACACACACACACACACACACACACAGCACCACCATTGAGGGTACTTTGGAGGATGTCACTTCCCGAAGGAACCAGTTTTCGCTGGATCCGTCTCTCAGGCCGGCGCTTGGGTTGAGTCTTGTAGAAGGTCCAGGCCGCGTCGTCTGTGTAGTCGTACTGGGCGGGACGAGTGCGTTAAGAATCAAACGCACCAGTCGAGAGAGGTTGGAACCCGCCCACAACCCTTTGGCTTTGCCGGTTGCCAGGCAAAACACACTATGATTGAAGGAGGGAAGGGATAAAATGGAACGTCAGAAAGCTGGGGTTTAGTCGAAAAGAGTGGAACCCGCCCACAACCATTTGGCTTTGTATGATTCGAAGACACATGGAACGTACAAAAGGGGGTTTGTGGGGGGAAACCCCATTCGCCTGGCCCACAAGAGTCCCAGCGTTTCCATGGCCATAGACTCAGACGGGTCACCAGAGTTCAGTGTATGGTTTCCCTACAATGGCAACGAAGCAGTACAATAACCAAAAGAAAGGCGGTTTGACCATGAAAGAATCAAAAGGATACTCTCCTTATCCTTCTGCCATTTGGCTGTGGGTCAAAACCCTGTACCCCTGGTGAACACCAAAATAGGTGGTACATGGGTGTTCATCCGCCCCAAAATGGAACCATAGGTTATGACCCATGGCCATTTCATTGAGTCCCTCTCTCTCTCTTGATCACATCACACCATGGGCACCGAACAAAGCGCCAGAGCCAAGCTCCAAACCGCCTCTCCCTCGGCCTGGCTACTCCGGGTCCGCGATTTTTTGTTTGGCCAAGAACAACTGGCTCCGGTTTGGGTGTGGGGAAGCCCAAAACCGGGGCTGGGTTTCAAGGAAGCCAACACCCCCCCCCCCACGCCACCCGGCCACCCCACTGGAGACGAACCAATTTACTTGGAAGTCTTCGGCTCCAAGGGGCGCTGCGGATCGAGTGGTCGTAGACACACGCGCTCCTGTAACCAGCGGGGGTCTGTGGAGCTGGGGCCGATTCCAGATGGCGTTGATGGGAAAAAAACCAAACAGACACCCAAGAGCGAAGTTTCCGGGGTCCGATTTCGTGAGCAACCTGCCAGGCTCTTTGGGTACTTGCAGATTCAGCCGGAGAGCAAACCACCCACACTCAACTCAGAGTGAGGGCTTCAGGATGGGTCCATGGTCAGTCTAAGTCTAAGGTGGGGCGGCTGATTTAAGTCTTAGCCAGGTTTCGCGCCGGGCTCTTGGATTGCCCCAACACTTCTTGTTTGTGGGGCGGGGCTTCGTTCGGAGTTCTCGGCTGCCTTCCTATCTGTGCTTTTCCTTTTACCCTCCCAACAATTATGGAAGCTGACGGGATAAATTTGGAAGACTAGCTTTTGGGGAAGCCCCAAAAGCGTCCACTTCCATTGCCAGAAAGAGGGTCGTCTTTCTCAGCCTCCCCGCTTTTCCCGCCAGAACTCCTTTTTCCTTCCCGCTGCTTTTGGTTTGCCCGCAGTGGCCGTGTTTCTACAGGCTGGCCCGCCTTTCTCTGTGTGATCCCACAGCTTCCGGTTGGAAACATCAGACGCTCGTTCCCCCTCTGATAGGAGCGGCCGTTGGGTTTCCCTTGTACCCTCTACAAGAACCAGGGGTTCAAATCCCCAAGCCACCAATCCAAACCATCAAGTAAGGGCTACCTGACTGTTCCCAGAACAAGAAGAAGAAGAAGAAGAAAAACCGCGGCATCCTGTCGGCCCCACCGAGAAACACCATCCAAAACAAGAAGAAAAAAAACAACCACACGACACACACGTCCTCAGAAAGCAGCCGTGGGTATCATGGTAGACAATGGAGTTGCACAGCCTCGGCGCGAACAAACTAGCAACCCGGTTCCGCAAAACGGAGGTCTCTCAATCTTGTGGGGAATCAACACCTAAGATCATGTTCGGATTCCCAAACAGGCCTTCACAAGTCGAGTTGTCAGAAGGCAAACCCACGCATCTGTTCAGGCTTTTTGGGGTATACCCACATCACGGTTGATTTTCCCCTCTTGGGGCATGGGCAAGTTCCTTTGGCGTCCCTTTCGCCAAGTTTAGCAAAAGGAACCCGCGAGGAGCAAACCCTTAGGCCTATGGCTTGTCCTAAGATGTGTTTACGGTGGGCTTCTTCTCAGCTTGGACATCATGAGTGTCGTGTGAGAACCCTTGGGTTCAGCCCCCTCCTCCACTTCTCACTTCCTGATTGGGTGAGCCAAAAAAAAGCCCGAACTTCTTACTTACCACCAAAATGGTCCAAGCCCAAAAAGCGACTCAAGTCGACCGCAGACTCCACCGGGCGCAAAAAAAACTCTGCGGTCGGGCAACGGCTCGGCCGCGCACATCGCCTTGCAGAAGGTCACGGAACCTCGCGGCGAAACCGCAGGGTTGCCCTCCCAGCCAAGGAACACATGGAACCCTTCGACGTCTTTCGGGTGGGTCCTGGTGGTGGGTTGTCATGTTCCGCTTTTTTAGGGAAAAAAATCCTGAAGGGGTTCCATGTGAATTGGTGGGAGGGTATAAAGGTCTATGTAGGCCTTGCGAGAACCCCCATGAAACTTTTGATAGAACCACCCAAAGTGGCCAGACAAAGGGTTTGGGGCGCTCCATTCACCGACTCGGGGCAGCGAGTCGACCTCCCATGGAGTAATGTATTTTGTGGCAATGGCTCCGGAGCCTTGCTCTGAGTCAGCACCAGAAAACAAGCCGCCCAGAAGTTCAAGGGCACGCTTTGCGCGTGAAACTAAGTCGTCTCAACGGACTCGATGGACACCGAATGAGTGAATGGCCGTGTCTTTTTAAGGGACCCCAAAACTGGTCTCGGTGTCCTTTTGGTTTCCCTTTAAATCCACCTTTAAATCCACTAAACTAGGGTAACTCCAAATATGGACTGCGATGGAATGAAAGCTTCAGAGGCTATCTCTTGGGCTCGTGAGTTGCGTTGGCAGGTCTATGCTTGGGGCAAAATTAGTCACCAGGATAGGGACCGCATGTTTTAGTCCACGGTTCCATTTGCCAGAGCAGCCCATTGTGGGGCTGCCCCATTTTTAACCACAGCCACACATTTGTTGTTTGCTTTTTCCTGGGTAAATGGACCCGGAGAGGCTGGCTGCTTTTGGGGGAAACGTAACTTGACCGCCATCCGCGAGTGGTCTCTGTGTCTTTCCCGCCAAGAACTAAACAGATCTCCCTTTCGCCTAAAGGCCTAATAATAATAATAATGATGCGCCTCCAACCAAACCACCCAAAAAAGCTTCCCGGTGTCCGAGCGCTCGAATCCGCACTCGCGTCCAAGGGGCGGTGACCAGGGTATTGGCCCACCGGCGCGCCCTGCCACTCCAAGCGGCTTCTCATGGCTTTGAAACCATCCGTGGACGGCGCCCGCGAGGCGATGGGCGCGTACATCCCGGTGGCGGAGGATCTCGGCACAACATCGAACAGACCTGGACCACAAAAAACCCTTCAAGGGTTTGACTCCCTGATTAAGGGAACGGGGGGAAGGGCCCCCGAAAAAAGGAGATTCCTCCAGAATATTCTTGGGGGGGCTCCATGATTAGAGTACGGGCCGTGGTTCCATGGCTCCCGGAACCTGGTGCTAGGGACCCAGGGCCCGAGCGTCAGCACCAGATCCAGGTAATCCATGTGCGTCTTACAGATCTGGCAGACGCTGTCAGGGAAGGGAGAAAGAGGCAATCAATCAATGCGGGAGGTGGTAAAGCCAAAACTCGGGAATTCCTTTGAGTTTCCCTTGCAACTGGGGGTGGGCTGCGTTTTGGGCTTCCCTTATCCTAAAGGGGGTGCCAAGCAAAATAGACACACCCATTCACGTGTCAGGCGCGGTCCTCGGTCGGTCCCCGCCGATTGAGCTAGTTCCAAGCTTTGGGGAACTCCATTTGGAGCCTCGACTGCACCAGTTTGTGCTGGTTTGTCCACTTGGGAGCAATGTCCAAAAAGGGGGGGGCATCTGTTGAATGGTGCTTGAAGACAACCCAAGGGAAACCAAACATCTGGTTCCGCACCTTGGTCTCATTGTCCCAGGTCACTGAGAGGCAGTCCTAGCAGAAATCAGAAACTGTGTCTACGTTCTGATTTATGGCGAGTGCTTTTACTATTGAACGAAACTAGACACTCGTGCAGCATGGTTGCAAATCAACAGCCTCTAAGCTGCAAATAACAAACAGCTCTCGATTCATTGGCTGCCGACATGCGAACACGCGGCACCTTTCTTCTGAACAACAAACCAGATGCACTACAGTACACACTGGGCCACCCAACTGTCTCCAACTGGCATCCCAGCTGCTTCATGATTCATGATACTTCTTTGACTGTGTGCTGGTTTCACCGCACAAGAACTGAAACAAAGACAGACAAATTGAAAACTGTTAACTACGAGTTAAGCCCGGTGGGGACGAGGTCCCAAAATTAACGATGACCTTGGGCGAGGTCATCAGCCCCCAAATTCAGCGCAGGCTTGCCAAGCTCCAACACTCTGAAGCTATTCTGGTGCTCAGGCTATATATAGAGCTTGTGTCAAAATAGGGGACGAATGGCATTTGTTCATTGGTTTACCTATGCAACCATCCAAAAAATGTGTACCCTCAAAAAACCACACACCACACAAAGACAGACAAACAGACAGACAGACAGACAAACAGACAGACAGACAGACAGACGGACGGACAGACGGACGGACGGACAGGACAGGACAAGATAGGACAGGACAGGACAGGACGAGACAAGATAAAACAAGATAAGAAGAAAAAAAGAAGAAAAAAAGAAAGAAACGCCAGCCAATCCGAAACAAACAAGCAAGCAAGCAAAGCAAAGCAAAGCAAAGCAAAGCAAAGCAAAGCAAAGCAAAACAAACAAAACAGGCAGGCAGGCAGGCAGGCAGGCGGGCGGGCGGGCGGGCGGGCAGGCAGGCACGCAGGAAGGCAAACAAACAAACAAACAAACAAACAAACAAACAAACAGACAGACAGACAGACAGACAGACAGACAGACAGACAGACAGACAGACAGACAGACAGACAGACAAACACGAGAACACACACACACACACACACACACGTCTCTGTGTGTGTGTGTGTGTGTTTTGTTCGTGATTTGCTTCCTTTGCTGTCCTCATCGTGGCAGCACCTTTGTTGGCACTCTGCCCAGCTGTCGTAGACCTGCCATCCGCCCGTCACCGCCTGGTCCGAAGCGCCTGCCAAGCCCGGCGCGCATCCCCCGTGGCGCATCCCATTGATGCGCAACTCGGCTGGGGGAAAAGGGACATCCGATTGAAAGCTCCAAATAGCCACCTGTTCGTTTACCCTCGCTGCAGCTAACATGGAAGTGCACAGACCCCTGTAGAAAAGACGACTTTCCTCTTGGAAAGGGCAACTTTGCACTTCCATGTTAGTTGGTGGGAGGGTAGTTGGTATATCTCGAAAACCAGGCCCTGCTGGTATTCTAGTTGGTATGTGATTGAAAAGCCTGGTTGTCCGTCGCAAATGCGTCCTTCATCTGGGGTTGACACCATACCCTGAGGAAAAGGGTATTTGGAGTTCACCAAGGACGTGTTGAAGGCATTCCCCATGAACATGCATATCCATCTCGAAACGGCCTATCTCCCCTCTTTGGTGGACATTTAAAGGAGTTTCCCACAAGGCAAGCAACTTTCCCCTCTTCTTGGTGGGCATTTGAAGGAGTGTCCGTTGACACCCCTAGGTTTGTCTCGGAAGGGTTCCCTTCCCCCAATCTCTGCTTCGGTCTCCCTTTGTCTTATCATTTAAAAAGCAATCCCTCCGCTGCCGCGCCGCATCCCTTGAACACCTCCCCCACCCACACCGCGCAGCCGACTTCAACTCTCCCCCCCCCACAGCCCCCCCCCCCACAGCCACCCGGCCGCAGCCGGCGTCAACCCCGGCCTGACAAGGTCTCGCCGAAGACGCAGCCCAGCGCCGCGGAGCAGCTGTCCGCGCTCAGCTGGCCCACCACGCAGGGGAAGGCCACCGCCTGCCGTCCGCTCCGAATTTTTGTTCGGAGCGGCATGGGTTGTAAATAGTTTGGGGATTAGTTATAAATAGTTCGGGGTCCCAACAAAAACAGGCCAACAAACAGGCCCACGCACCCACCAAAGGCTCCCGCAAAAAGGCGAAAGTCTGGCTCATACCAAAAACATGGCTCAAGTCGAGTCTGGCAACGGAACATGAAGCCGAATGCAAGGGAAGCTTGGGCGCCGAGGCGAATGCGGTGGATGCTCCTTCCTTCCAAAAAGATAGCGTGGACCCCTCGGAAACAAGACTCTTCAAAGAATAGAAAGCCAGGACCCTATTTGGCTGTGGCTCAAAATTGAACAGGAGGGGTTACGCAGGTTTTGGTCCATGTTTCTACTTACCAGGGTTCCATTTTGGTAGCGGTTTTTTTAGCCACAGCCATTTAACCGTGGCCTGGCGCAAACATCTGGAGACGCTGCAGAACCCAGCATGCTTCTGAGTAACTCGAGCTAGCCAAAACCAGCGCCGAAATATCTTCAATTGGAAACGCACCCTTGCGGACATACCGTGGATGGGCGCAATCCTGCACCACTTTGAAACCACGGGAAGCCATTGTTTGTTGGTATTTTGCAGGGGAATCATTCCAGGGTTTCTTAGGTGGTCTAGGATTTCATCCATCCGCAGTATGGGAATTATGTCCAGCAACCCTTCAAAAACCAGGCGTTTAGCCAATGACAACTCCGAGTCAGGTGATCGTCCGGCCGTCCCTTTGGCCGTCAAAAGCCGAGACGAGACTTCCTCGTCAACAGAAATGGGCCGCAACGTGGCCTCGGCTTTCCTTGTGGCTCCCCTTTGTCACCATTCAACAAGAGGAACCTCGAAAAACCCATTGGAGTTGGGAGACACACCCACACTGGAGTTTGGAACCCGATTCCTAATGGTATTTGGTGAGTGTGCCCCAATTCTTAGGGTTGATTCTCCTTTCATTGCGACCAACATTACGTTCAAACGCTAGCCAGAAGGGTCCCCAGACAGAATGTGGAAGACACCCCTAGAACAATCGACAATGGCATTGATTGCTCGCATGACTCCCACGAAGCCTCTTCGGTCATCATGGTCTCGTTGGTGAAGTTGCCATCGACATCCACCCGCGCACTGTGAACAGCCTGGGAGCACAGGCATCTGGGTCAGTGTCAAGGGATAAGCCCATGACCGAATCGAAACTAAATAGCCAGCTGAGTAATGGCCATGTAAAGAATTAAGAAGGTGGCCGCAGCTATTTATGGGTTGGGAGTATCCCTTACTAGCCTTCATCTACCTGGGTTTTGATTGTGGCTCAGCTGGGATGTCTGGCGTACCCAACTCATCTTGAGAAGCACCTGGAGCTCGTTAGCCCCCATCAGCCCCCATCAGCCCTTAAATATATGCTTGTTGACCTGTTGGTGTCCTATCAAACACAAGTGCCGCTCCCAAAAAGCACAGCTGGAAGGATTTTGAGCAACATAGACCAAGTCTGCAACGTGTTGGTAATCTATATACTATATTACATATGTTATATTATACTGTACTATACTATGTTATATTATAGCATGTTATAGTATATTAGACCATATCATATGATATTGTGTATATATATATATATTGTTATTGCTATGATTTATTACTATGATTACTATTATTATTATTATTTATTATTATTATTATTATTATTATTATTATTATTATTATTATTATTATTATTATTATTATTATTATTATTACTATTATTATTATTGTTATTATTATTATTATTATTATTATTAGTATTATCATTATTATTAGTATTATTATTATTATTAATATTATTATTATTATTATTATTATTATTATTATTATTATTATTACTATTATTATTATTATTATTATTATTATTACTAATATTATTATTGTTATTATTATTATTATTAGTATTATCATTATTATTATTATTATTATTATTATTATTATTATTATTATTATTATTATTATTATTGTTGTTGTTACTATTATTATTATTATTATTATTATTATTATTATTATTATTATTATTATTATTATTATTATTATTATTATTATTATTGTTGTTACTATTATTATTATTATTATTATTATTATTATGATTATTATTATTATTATTATTATTATTATTATTATTATTATTGTTGTTACTATTATTATTATTATTATTATTATTATTATTATTATTATTATTATTATTATTATTATTATTATTATTACTATTACTATTATTATTATTATTAATATTATTACTATTACTATTACTATTATAATTATTATTATTATTATTATTATTATTATTATTATTATTATTATTATTATTATTGTTGTTACTATTATTATTATTATTATTATTATTATTATTATTATTATTATTACTATTACTATTATTATTATTATTAATATTATTACTATTACTATTACTATTATAATTATTATTATTATTATTATTGTTACTATTATTATTATTATTAGTATTATTATTATGATTATTATTATTATTACTATTATTACTATTATTATTATTGTTATTATTATTATTATCATTATTATTATTATTCTTAATACATATATATATATATATATATGTGTGGATATGTGCTAGATCATCCCAGACTGAGAAATGAGACCTGCGGGGCCTCCACTTCTGGGCTGACTTGCTGTGCCGGGGCGCGCCAATGCCAGTCACTGCCAATTGTGCGGAGGGCTCCAGCACGGGTACCTCGCGTAAAGGGCAGAGAGGTGTCACCTTCTAGGTCCTCTAGCAAAGAGGTTAGAATAAGGGTACCAACTTTTTTCTGCAGTCTGTCTTAGTAGGGGAACCCTTCGGCTGCCCGTTTTCAGATCCCCGGCTAGAAGTGACTCACTTCTAGTGGGCTTAGGCTAAAAATGACTCACTTTTAGTGGGCCTTTAGGGAACACCAACCAGGAAACTTCTCAGAAACATCAAAAGAAGCTAAGGGACCGGATGGTTGAGGCGACTTTGAAGGGAAAGCAAAAGGATGGGCTAGTGCAACAAAAACACTTGATCGTTGCAAGGTTCGATTGGGAACCCTTTGCCGGACATGGTTCACATGGCATCCGCGAACGCGCAGAGCGTGCATGAGGTGGCTCCCCACTAAGACAAAACACACTTCCAAATGAGTGTGTTGTTTACTCTTTTCACCTTAAGTTTAAAAAGGGAACCATGCATCCCCGTTTTTACGCATATCCCAATGCTGGCCAAAGCTAAACGAGTTGAATCCGCCTCAAAGAGGGAGGCGGAGAGCGGCCAAAGCCACAACTCGTTGCCATTGCCGTTGGAGACCACCGACACCTGCGACGTGTCGACATGCCGAAGGGCATGGCTGTGGGTCTTTGCGTCTGGCGAATCGGCCACATGGCTGTGGGTCAAAAACATGGTTGTGGGAAATGACCACTTCTGTGATACAGCAAAAAGGGCTTCCCAAAGACTAGTACCCTATATAAAGGGAGAGATTCCCTTGTATCACAGACGTGCGAATAAACCCCTTGATTCCACAACCCTGGTAAAAAAAGGTACTTTTTTTTGTCTGGGAGCCCTGGTAAATGGAAACATGGACTAAAGCCTTCGAGACTTCCAGGGAAAGACGGATGGGAAAATGGACGAATCCGAATACGAAAAATGCCGAAGGGCCTTTTAAGTCTTCCGGCGGGTTTTTGATAGGTAGGGAATGTGGGAATGAAGCCAGGACTTTTCTTAAAGGAAACCACCAGTTGGATGGTTTACAGGGGTCGCTCCATGTCTCATTCCCTGCTGAGCAGCAAGTCTTTGCGTCTGGCGAATCGGGCAAATGTCTTCAAACCGCAGCCCTTCGAGGCTTGAGCGAAAGACGTGGGATGGGCAGGACGTGGAATGCCGAAATGCGGCATGTGGAATGGGGAGAAGTCTGAAGCTGAATCAGCTCAAGCAGCTCTGCACCACCACCAGTGCACAAACAAACAAACAAACAAACAAACAAACAAACAAACAAACAAAGAAACAAACCAAACCAAACCAAAAAACAAGAAACGAACAAACCAAACAAAACCAACCAACAAACAAACCGCTAACTAACCAACCAACCAACAAACAAAACAAAACAACAACTAAAAACACAAAGACACAAACCGCACACCAGCCAACCACAAACCAACCAACCAGACAAAGCCAGCCAAACAAACAAACAAACAAACAAACAAGCAAGCAAACAAGCAAGCAAACAAACAAACAAACAAACCGGCCAACCAAAAACCGGAAAAAAAAGAAGAAGAAAAAGAATAAAAAAAAAAAGGAGAAAACAAAAGCAAACAAAGAAATAAACCGCCAACCAGCCAACCAAAAACAAGCAACAAAAAACTGCCAACCAGCCAACCAGAATCCAACAAAGACAAACAAAACAAAACAAAACAAAACAAAACAAAACAACCAAACAAGTCAGCGTTCAACTAACAAGCGAAGCAAAGCCAACACCAATAACGCCTCTGCCCTCCCATCAGGAGACATCCCGGGTCCCGCCTCCACGACACTGCGCATGAGGTCGTACTCTATGATCAGCGGTGGCAGGTTGCCACCGGGGCGCCACATGTGGACCAAGTACTCCGTGACCGTTTCCTCGCCCTCACCTGAGTCGCAGGTTCCAGGATCACCATGGTGGAAAACCACGAAAAAGATCTGATATTTCCACCACTCATGGGAAAAAGCTCCCCATGGTCAAAAAACTGGGAGCCCTAAAGGAAATATTGAGCAACCCCCATGTCCCACTTGAGTCATAATCCAAAAGTACAAAAATGGTGCACCCAGAAACCATACTTCAAGAACTAAGAAGGCGGAGATCCGCAGCTATTTATGGTTCGGATCGTCCCTAACCTTCATCTACCCGGGTTTAGATTGTGGCTCACCTGAAAAACGACTCCTCCCGGCGCCGAAGGGGGCTTTGCCCCACTGAGGACTCTTTCAGGCGACGTAGTCTGGGCCGTCCGTTTTCTCATCCCCTGCTAAAAGTTGAACTTGTGGGTGATATGGAAACTACCACCAAACTAAGAAGCTGAAAAGCTAAGGGGATGGCTGGGAAGGTATTGGTTGTTCGGATAAACGCGAGTCGCAGGCAACTCATACAAAACCTCGCACACGTCGATCGCGGCTATGAGACCTTTACGACAAGTCTCAAGCCTCAGTCCGCAAAACCAAAGGCTTGTCGCAAAATAGGGTGACCCCCAAAGATGGATTTTGACGCGATCCAGCGGGATCTGGGCTCCCCGGCTGTAAGAATCCATCCACCAGCCGTCCGCGTGCACTTTGATGCCGCTCGGCATGGTCATGTCGCTCAGGGCTTCCATCAACTGGGCGCGACCGCGAAAACCGCCGGGACCGCGACAAAAACATCCCATCCGCAGGTCCACTAAGGTGACATCCCCAAAAGCGTCCTAAAACTGGTCCTCAAAGTGACATCATGTCATCCTCGGAAAGTTGCACTAGCACTAAAGCGACATCCTCAATGCTAGTTCAAAGTGAAGCAACCTCCCAACACTAGTTCCCACTAATTGCCTTGTGAGAACCCTGAAAACCATGTTCACCTGAAAGTGAACCCAGAACGAGTCAGGTACTCGAGCAGCTGACCCTCCAAAGTCCCAAATAAGAACCGCCGGTTGCGACAACCACGTGGTATGCGTGCTCCACAGGCTCGTGCACCTCTTCTGCGCAACGCAAAAGGCCCATAAAAAGGCCATCGTGCCCATGTCCCCTACGCATTGCCGTCATCTCAAAGAGCTGCTCAGCCAACTTTGGCCCAAAGGGTGACGTGCAAACCACTAATAGATATATATATATATATATATATGAATGCTACCCCGATTGAAATACTCGGGGGGGCACCATATACGTATATATCTATATAATTGTGTATAAACGAATATCTTTATAGTATACACAATACATTGTATACAAATAGCAAGTTTTCGCCCGTCCCAGTCGCGTGCCATTCATTGAAATCCCAGTAGATCCAACTGCTCCAGGTGGGCTCGTCCGCGGCGAGCTCGCGCAGGCCCAAGCGCCACTGGCCATCGGACTTGGAGATCCGCTTCTTGAAGAGCAAAATCCTCACGGGTGGGCTGCTCCTCCCGACCCCTCAAGACCCACGGCTTGCTGTTGACCCCCCTGCAAAAAGTGTTTTGTGTTTTTTGTTTTCATTTTGTGTGGGTGTGTTTTTGGGGGAAAAAAACTTGACTTCCCAAAAAGTTAAAGTCTAAAAGTCAAGCATGGGTCATGGTGATTTTTCCTCCCCTCACATGGGTCATGGTGATTTTCCGATCCTCGCAAGGCATGGGTGTCCTTTTAGGGGAAATGATGGATATCGCTGGAAGATGATTCAACCACCTGGTAAACCAGGAATCGCTATCTATGTTTCTACCAAAACAGCCAAAAAGGACACCTATGGTCCTGATGATCTTCTGCCTGAACCTTTACATGCCCCGATTTCGGAGAAATTGAGCGCCATGTTCCCAAGCAAAGCCAATTGTTTCCAAAGGAAAGGGGCGATTCCGTCACAAGCCAAGAGTTGCCCAGATTCTTCGGTTTTTACCCCAACCAAACATACAATGTTTGATTCTGCTTCACTGCTGCGCCGTGAAATAGTGAAGCCAGAAAGGCCACAAATCCCAGCTGTAAAAAAGTGAAAAGGCCTCATTCTTGCATGATGCTCCTTGTGTCCTTTGGGGCAGGGTCCGTATTGAAAATCATGCCCCCAATCATTTGAGCAGCTTCGCATTGTAAGTTGGCCCAAAGAGCGATGATTTTCTCACTGCCAGCCGGGAAAATCCGATTTCTGTGTCTGACTTTTAGTTGGGGGACTCTTTGGTGCACATCATTTCGTTTTTTAGAATTTGTCCACTAGACACTCAGGGGTACCCACCGCTCCTAGCCTGAAAAAAAGCTGAGCATGAACTTGCCTTTTACTGCGTTTGTTCTTAGCCAATCAAAAAACTTAGCTCCTTCAGGGGGTTTCCCGATTCGGCCACAAGGGCCACAAGGCTTTGGGTCCTGTTCTCCATCTAGTGGGGCGAAGCGTGCCCTGCACCGATGCTTCAAAATGGGCTTCCCAGTCAACCAACAAGTCTTTGCGTTTCAACCAGAAGTTCTGGTCGACGGTTCCTTGCAGAGGGGAAAGTGGTTCATCCAACCTGATTCCCTCGAGAAGGCCACAGCAACCATCCTATCGCAGAAGGGGAAGAAAGCCAAACTACCCTCCCACTAAGCAAACAGGAAAATGTTCCTGGTTGTCTGTCGGGTTGCATATCATGGAACCCAAAATGGGTCCGGTCCGATCCCCAAAAGCAGATTCCTCTACATGTCTGTGTTTTCAGATTCCATTGAGTGTCCCCTACAGTACTCTACTTGACTCTACAATGAGCTTGTTCTACAAAAGTGGCGTACTTTACATAACTACCTTTCGTCATTGCAGGAGATTGTCATTTGGCTGTGGGTCAAAACCAATGGTACCATTTTGGGGTAGGTGCACCACCCATTTTAGAACCGATTTTAGTGGGGATTGGGATTTTCACTGGGGGTACGATTTGGATTTTGACCCATGGCCATTTATTTAGCCCCTGGTTTGTGCAGAGCTACTTCCGATTTCGCGCCAAGTGTCTCCGGCCAGCTCTTCCTTTCCGCAAGCAGCGCCTCGCGCGAAACTTCTCGCGGTCGAGTCGAGCTTGCCGGATTGCTGAAAACGGAAAGGAGACGCAAAGGCCAGATTGAGCTTGAAAGCACCCCTTGTTTGAAGCCTCTTTTGATGTCTTCCTTGATGTTGAAAGCACCCCTTTTGAGGTTGAACCCTGAAGATGTGTGCGTCCTTCCCCCCTTTTGAAGGGGGATCAAAGGGAAAGCGCACGCAAATGCAGCTTGAGTTGCCCTACTGTGACACGAATCCACTTCCAAGATCCCCCAGTCCCTCATGAATGAACAAACATGGACCATGTGTTGTTTAGCCAGCTGACCCAAAACGCACGCGAATCGATGGTTTGGAAGGGTTCAACCCCTCTTGACCGCAGTTGACACCCAAATCGAATCCCCCTTTCCCAATGAGCGCCCAACACCGGGGACCCACAAGGTGGCTGGCTTTCTTTCCCACCTAAAACCCACGTGACAAGGGGAGCCCTGTAAGTCAAATCCACTTCGCAACAGTTGGGATAAACGAAGCCCCGTGACTTGGACACACCACTTGCCACCTGCAGGAGCTCAAGTCTTCGGGACCCAGTTTCAATATGAAGAAGAACACACACGGAGGGTGGGGGGGAGCCCTATGTTCTCCTGGGTTTCAAAAAAAAACACCAAGATGAAAGTTACCCACATGCGAAAAGTGTTCCATGCTCATTTGGGGACCCTGCGGAATATTGATCAACCCCCACTATTTATATATATATATATATAAATGTATAAATCAATGGGGTCTTCCCAACAAAAAAAAGCAAGAAAAAAGACGTGGGGTCCTCCCACGTACGCGCCTTCTGGCTGGCAGGGATCTCGGAGAGGTCCGGGCGCTGGATTCGAAGCCCGGTGGCCTGGTAGGCCCGGCCTCGGAGCGAAACGAAAACCGGAGGACCGGAGACAGGTGCGCGGATCCTCAGATTTCCCTCCACCAAAACGACCGATTCTTCTGCCAGACCCGACTCGGTGGTGGGGAATATGACGAACCAATCTACCACCAAAAGGAGCGAAACAGAGCTGAAAAGAACTAAAAGGCTAAGGGACCGGATGCCTGGGAAACCACCAAGTTGACCTGGTCCACTTTCTTAACTCCTCCCCCACCCCCCCACCCCCAGTGGTTGAAAGGGAAACCACTTTCCCTCCGGCTGCATTTGCTCATTTTCCCAAACCCAGAATCGGGGCCCCCAGCGCCGGCGCCGGGAGTCGTAGCCCGGCCGCCAGTCCTCCGCCAGCGTCACCCGCTTCAGGAAGAAGCGGCGCTCGCCTCCACGGCCGACGTCTTAGGTCGTCGTCTTCGAAAAACGCGCCGGGGGTTCAATGTCGGACTGGGCGTGGGCTTGGGATTGGTTCGGGAAGCCTTCTGGTGGGTGGTAGTGTCTGCGGGAGGGCAAAGCACCGTGAAAGCACACCAGGGGCCCTTCTGGTGGGTGGTAGTGCATGGGTGGTAGTGCATGGGTGGTAGTGCATGGGTGGTAGTGCATGGGTGGTAGTGCATGGGTGGTAGTGCATTCAGGGTGAAAGTAGATAGGGGATGCCTCAAAATACGGAATCTTACACAACAGGGGCCCTCCCACAAAAAAAGAAGAAAGAATTGGACCAAATTAGGCGCAAATGTTGCAATCATCAAAGTCACCCCAATGTAGGTTACAGGGAAATTACCTCAGCTTAGCGCTTCTGACTTTGCCAACCCCCTCCCCCAGAAACGGTAAAATGTCTCAAGGATAGGGGCAAATGAACAAGCAAAGATCTTATCCCGCTGCCACGGATAGAAAAGCACATCTCTGGCAGGGGCCTTATGAAGAGCATCTGACTGAAGGGGCCTCATGACCCCTGATGAGGGCCAGGGCTTGCGATGTATTCGCAAGCCCTTCTAGCTGGGGAACTTGACGCCTAAACAACCCTTGTGGGTCCTTCTTTTTTCGTGCGTCGATCGGTAGGCTCGTCACCAAGTTGCCCAGCGGGATGAGCGGGGGAACATGACTTTGCTGTAGGGTCGGCAAGATTGTAAAATCTACCGTAGACAGGCAGGGGCAGCATCCAAGGGATAGATAATTGTTGCCGTGTTTTGTGTGACCACGCACCATTGCTAAGCGGCGTACGCCGCTAAGCGCCTCATTCGTAAGGGTTACATGGGACTGCGGGAGTTCAATCTTCCAGAGTTCGATCTTCCAAGAGCTCAATTTAAGGACTTATAGTTTTCAAACTAAGGGGTAACCCCCAATGGCGCCCTTTTGCAGTCCCTTTAGTGAGTCTTCTTCACCTGTCCGTCGCTGAGTCAAAAAGGAGGTAACCCCCCTCTTCAGGGTGCCTTCTGTTCGGGAGAAACACATCGCTTTCTCTTTTTGAGTCGGCACGTTGGCACCCGTTTTGGGGTCTTGAGGGGAAACCCACGGGAACAAAAAAAAACACAAAACGTTTGGTGAGCTGTTTCAAAACACGGCCCCAAATGGGGCGAGCCCCGATCCGACCCCTGCCTTTCGTGAGGTAGACCGTGCTCTCGGTGGGGGTGCGGAAGACGTTCGCATCCCCGGAGAAGTCGAAGCTCCTAAGGCCCCGAACTTCACATAGGGACCCAACGAATTTGGGGGAAGGGGGTGGTGGGAACCATCTTAGAGGAAAATCCACCCAAAGCTCGTGGCAAACAGCCAAAAGCACGGCTGGAACAACCTTTGCTATACATCGCAACATGGGCATGACCACTTTTGTGGCTTCAAAAGGGCCCCAAAAGGGGTATCACAGAACATGACACTGAAAACCCCCATTCGTCCGCCATGGACGAAAAAGGCCATTGTTCGGCTTCTCGACCCCCGGACCACTGGCAGCGAGCCGACCAACAGCGCCCCGCGCAAAAAAAACCGGGCGCGCGCCCGACCCTCCGAAAAGCGGGCCTGGTGAAGTTGGTGCCCGCGTGGGCCTGCGCCGTCTCTTTGCCAGAGGTTTCTGGAAAATTGCCCCGACGGAAGCTTCACTGCCAATGCCCCGGCGGAATCTCACACATACCTCTCATGCAAAAAAAAAAAGGCCGGCGGGGTGTGCCATCGGAGCTTCACTGGCCAAGCAAAAGTCTCACAGATCGACACCGTGGCAGGGCTCTCAAAGTGGCACTGTCCCCTAATGCCCTGGCCGAATCTCAAATATCGACGCCAGCCACGGGCAGGGCTCCCAAACCAACCACGGCCTGCCACACAGTCTCCTCACCCCACCCCGACACCGGCATCGCCTGCCCGTTGGTAAAATGATTCCGAAAATTGTAGAACCTTGGCGCGCATTGTGGCGCATGGCCGCAAAAGAAAAAACATGGCGCTGGAATAGCTACAGAGGACCTGTTAAGAGGGTCCTTGAGTCAGAACGAATGTCAGTCGCTTGCCAAGACAGGTTGCCCCTCAGAGGACTTCCAAAGGACTTCGCGGGCCAAAAGAAAAGGCCAAACGGGGCTAAACGAGGGGGGGGGGGGCTCTTTGTCAAATAGTGGTGTCCTAAGTTGAGGCATGTTGATATACGCCTTGGGTGTTTTCCCCCGTTCGGAGAAGGAGGGGGGGGAGTTGGGGGGGGGGGGGGACGTTAACGTTCGCTGACACATCCGCCTGCGCACACAAACACACACCTGCCATGCACACAGACGAACATGCGGTAGGGGCCCAGACCTCTGAAGCGCGCACACACACACACACACACACACACACACACACACACACACACACGCGTGCGCGTGCGTGCGCGTGCAACTAGCACATGCTTGCCCAAGCTCAGTCCAAATGTCGTTTTTGTTGCTTCGGATAGCGAATTTATCTTTACGCATTTCTTTTGTGGATATGCCACGCTCCCGTGCCTGACGCTTTGATTTGCCTGCAGCCCACTCAGGGACCCTCACACAATAGATGTCTGGGCCGACGCAGAGATCTCCAGGATGCGACGCAGAAAAGTCGTGGCTCAATTCAACGCGCTCCGAATGGCCATGGGTCAAAAATAGGGAAACCCCAAAATGGGTTGCCCCGCCAAATGGAACCAAGGAGTCAAACCTGCGGTCCAATTCCTGGTGGTTTAATCTTGACCCATACCCGAATCTGGTTCCTGGTTTCAGTGGTCATTGCTCCAAGCATCTCTTGCTCCAGTCTGCAAAGAGCTTGCTTGCTTCAGGCGCACTGTCATGGGTCAAAGCGTGGCCCAGAGTGGTCAAAGATTTGGACATCTTCTTGGCATGAGAGCCACTACCGCAACGAGTTGTGCAAGGAAGTCTACCGGGCAGAAGATCTGCTGTCCCGTGCGTGGCAGGAACACGGTGCATTGATAGGTGGCAGTCGTTAGATGCTTTCTGTTCCCCAAGGCGTTCATGGGCTCGAATACATTCATGCCGCATGCTTTGGAGATAAAACTTGCCTCGATAGCCAAGTTGCGATCGCTTTTTTCCGTCACTGTTGCTGGTTTTTGGATGGTAAAGTGGATGGGAACCAGCGAAAAAAGCAACAGGCGATCCAGGCTCTCAACTCGCAAAGATTTCAAGCTTCCCGGAGCTCAGGAAGCGAAAAGAACACTGCGATGCTTTTGTTGTTGTTGTTTTGTTTGTGTTGTTTTGTGTTTTAATTATTATTAGGACCTTTTTTCGGGCTGCGGTGACTGGAATACCGCAAGAATGCACATCAAAGAAGTGAACCCCCAAATCCATTGAGCCGGCTCCGCTCTCCCAAGCACCGGCTCCGGCGAGTTTCAAAGTCGATTTTGTTTCGTCCGCAGGGAGGACGAGCGGTCCAATTCCTGGTGGTTTAAAATTTTGACCCATACCCATATGTTCAAACAGACCTCCGCCCAGAACGTATGGAGTTCATATCTGAGCGACCATTGCGCGTGTGTTCGAGCGCCAAGACACATGCTGCAGCCAGTGTAAATTTCCCGGCGCCGGCTCGAGCTGCTCCTGCCGATGTGAGACCCATCCAGGACAACTTTCGAGGAGCCCAAAACGGAGTCACATGGCTGTGGGTCAAAACCGTTTTGGTACCATTTTGGGGTAGGTGCACCATTTTAGGACCTATTTTAGTGGGGATGTTCACTGGGGGTACGGGCTTTTGACCCATGGCCACATCACAACCGGTGATACCGAGCAATCGCCCGAGTCCTTGACTGGAAGGGAGTAACAGCTGATGTCAGGGACCAACTCCCTCCCTCAACCCTCGCCCTGCACTCCTTTCAGGTCAAATGGCTTCCGACAGGCTTCCTTTCTTAGAGCATTGGGGGGCTGGATATACATCACCGCCTAGTTTGGACGCGCAGCTGTTCTTTTAGGTGTTCACTCATGGTTGTAGAAAATCACCTCTGTGACAAATGATCAAAGCGGGATTCAAAATGTCCGTCCCCACGACCAGTTCATCACTTTCACCGGGAGTTGTTTATCTCAAAAAGCGGCACTATGACACGATTTGCCACAACCAAGGTTCCACATGTTCATCTTCCCCGGGGCAAACTTAAAGTCTGGGTGAACCGTAAGTCTACCTTAATCAACAATTGAAACCCTACTTGGATACCTCCTGAGGCAAGAAAGCGCGTTTTGCACCAGAGACGACATCCGCCATGCACCAGCCAGGATGAGACGGCTTTAAATGGCTTGGTTAAAAAGAAGAAAAAAACGACGCATGGCGGTGTTCCCCTTGGGGCAAACCACCCGCAAGGCTCGATCGGCCAGCAAAGACATATATGGCCCCAATACCCCTGGTACTCTTGCCGATCCGCAGCGGTCCGGACCATTCCCCAATGAACCGAAGTCTGGAACATGGAAGTTGTTTGCAAAATCTCCACCCCTTTCTGCAAAAATCCACCATGAAAACAGACCATCAAGCTCTCAGACGACAAGTCCCTCTCGCTCGCTCCTGCAGGGCACGTTGTCGATCTTCTCAGCCACTCTGACCAGGTCCGCAGGATCGTTGGAGGTGCTTAGCCAAACGTCCTGCTCGAGAGAGCGGCGTGTGTTTCCCACCGTGACAGGGAAGAGAAGACGAAGACGTGCCAAATGGGCGTGCTCTAAACTTGGAGGACCCCAGTTCATGCTGGGTTTCCATTTGGTGTCCACTCAGTACAACCCTGCAAGAGGTACCCTCAAACTACATATACACACACATCACTCCATGGCCCATGGTGCAATCCGAAACTCCAGAGTGAGAAATGGGAGTGAACACGTCAAAGGAATCTGAGGCCAGAGCCGATCGGAAAACGCATCGAGCATCGAGTTGAAAAACCCTTTGATTGCCGCGCCCTACAGGCGTCAACCATTGCCCTAAACCTGCTCTCCTGGTTCATAGAACCCCAGGTCAGGAATGAGTAGTAGCCAGTCACCGGGGCAACGAAGAACGCCATGATCTCTTCCACAACACCTTGGCCGCAGCTTGATATTCGCTTGTCTACACTCATAGTTGTATGTGTATGTGTACATGCATACATATGTGTTTATTTATATATATATATATATACATATATGTATATATATATATATGTATGTATATATATATATATGTATATAACCCCCCTGCTCCAGGACCCAATCTGGAGATAGTAATCCTCGAAATGTCCAATGTTGGGCCCCCCAAAAGCCTCATCATTTGGAGACCTGAGTCCTCCATATAGGATCTTACTTCAAATTGATTTGGAGCTTTGAATGGAACTTAGTAAGGAATAGTTTACCAAATTGTGTTTTATCTTCAGTTAGAGTTTAAGTAAGGAGTCCAATTACAACCAAATAGGGATGAATTCCCATGGCTAAACATTTAAGGGGACTTTTACAAGGAAACTCGCAATAGGATTTGTGTTGGTTTATGTGGCCCTTTTATAGCATAGGAAAGGTCCGAAATTGGACTTGTTAGACGGCATTCCAAAACGAAAACTTCAAGGGATTAGAGGTTCAATTCCAACAACCATCTCGAAGCAGCAATTCTAGCCGAATTAGGTGAATTTAAAGTCTTATTTGGACAGGATATCATAAGGCGGAGGTAGTAGATGAGCAATTGTGGAGAGGTGTTCGGGGGGGGGGGTTACGGTGTGTGAGCATACATATATATATATATATATGCATATATAACATAACATAACATAACATAACGTAGCAACATAACGTAGCAACATAACATAACGTGACATGACGTGACATTGCATTACATTACATTGCATTGCATTGCATTACATTACATACGTACAGGAGTACATACGTACATTACATTACATTGCATTACAGTACATTACGTGACGATACGTAACGTTACGTAACCTAACCTTACCTTACCTTACATTACATGATATGGCATGACATTGCATTACGGGTGCGCATACTTGGTTGGACAAGTATGTATGAAAACCTGGAGTATTGGGACAACACTGCATTCTCAAAAAGAATTGTCTCAGACTCTTGAATCATGAATCTGGAATCTCATAATGTCTATTCTTATTAAAGAAGAAAAAAGAGGTGTTGTTGTCTCAATACTCCTTAGATGCATGCAGACTCTGTCAGACGGCAGATGAGGCAAATGACCCCGAGACAAACCATCCAACTGGGGTTTCCTTTGGTTTTGACCCACAGCCAAATAAGTCATGGCCATGATGCAGCTACCACGCATTGGCTGAACACTTTGTTTGAGCCCCTCACAACTGGACCACACACTGGACAAGCTGATCAAGCTTGCAATGGCTACGTCTCAAGATGAGTCGGGCAGGTGGGCCGGGTGCATGCCCCCGGGCCGTCCAAGAGCTGAGGTCCTCCAGTAGAGTGGTTAGCATAAGGGTCCACGATTTTTCTGTAGTCTATTTGAGCAAGGGAACCCTCCCCCCAAAAAAAAATAACCGTCAACCGGGCACCAATTGCTGCCGGACCTAGCTGCACAAAACGACGTGTTTACCGGCGGTCGGTTGGGCCGAGCCGATTCCAATCGGACGTCTGGGATTTGTCAAGGGGGCCTTGCCTTTGGGACCCAAAGGTTCCAACCAAAGGGTTCCAAGCCGTCGCTTGCATGTCATGTGTGTGTCGCAGGCAGCTTGAAGTCGAATCAAACCGGGCCAGCCACCAACCCCCACCAAACAAACCAAGACTCCTAAGACGCAAAGGAAACAAAGATTACAAAAAACAAAAAGCAATCCTCGCTCACCTTGCTCTCCCCAAAAAAAGGAAGCGCACTCATCCAAGCAGCCGTGGTTTCCGGAGGCTTCTGCCAGAGTCTTGAAGGGCCCCTGCAATGCTTCACACTC